AAATGATTTTCTGTTTGATAGATCTGCTTGTAAGTTAGTATATTCATACCTTTCTGATCGTATACAGTTTGTTTCTTTAAAGGGAGTTTCTTCTAGTCAACGGGTGTATAAGTAAGGGTGTTCCGGCTACTGGCTACAGTACATAAATTATATAGTAAACTGCATTGCTAGTCAGTATTGGCTTCCGTATTTGTATGCAGATGATATGCATTTATTCTTTAGGGATGGGTTAATTACAAATTTAGGGTCTGAAATTAATTGCACGCTAGACTGGAACACAATTACAAATTCCTCGTTTTACCTCTTTAATCTTTGAACGATCATTTACGTTTAGAGTTGCCCGTCTCTGGAACCATCATTTTGCGTATATTTTCGTAGCCTGCTACAATCTTCAAAAATAAGTACATTGCGTTTGCTATAAACCAAGATCAGTCTATAAGCATTTCTCAGACACCTCCCAGTTCATGACCCCAGAGTCGTCCATATTTGTGAGGCTTATGTCAATGACTTCACCTCTCACCCTATTTACAAACGTTGGTGTGTTGCCCCTATTACAAATTCTAAGATTATAGCTAAGTATAAACTCAAAAATGGACTCACCTCTCGTGTTGGTGTTACTGCTTGTGTTGGCGTCACATCCGACGCCAACACACATCTCCAGTATTCTCCAACCCCTTAAAAGGTGGTGGGATCCACACAGAGTTTACCATACCGCTTGACATCTTTTGGACCGCTACAGCTGCCAGTCTGCTACCTTCCCAAAGAGGGTCCAGGTTGTTAATTGTCTTTTTAAGGAAGTCCGCAGTCTCCTTAGTGCGACAATTAACAACCTTGACCCCTTTGTATAAGGAGGTGTGGCCAAACCGTAGGCTCTGTCGATCAATATCGTCGGATAGGACGATGTCTTTCAGATGGCTGTCGAACCAGCAACCATTTATCCTCGCTGATGATCCCGTCAGCGTCAGCTCGGTCCATAATTGCTACTGGCAGATCTTCCGGAACCTCTTTTGGAGCAGCAGAGTCGCTAAGCTTCGTTGTAGGTTTCTGGGCTACCTTCTTCGAAACAGCGTGTTTGGCTTCCACAACACAATCACCGCTCTTGGCAGGTTTCTCCTTCTGGCGCAAACGAAGCAGAGTTTTGTACAGCCGACGATTGCGTGGGTCTCTTTGCAGCAGGTTGTAGTTCCTCCGAGGACCTCATACTCTTGACAGCCGTGGGCTGTGGCCGAGATTTGGTGGTGGTTGTTGATGTTGTAGCAGTTTATATGAATTGTATATTTTCCTGTTTAAGTTTCCTCAAGTTCTGTCTCCAGATTTAGAAATGCAGCTACCTCCACTGGCTGTAACCACAGATCTTCCGGAGTGAGGTGAGTAGATTTGGCTGGACAATTGAATAAATCCAGTGTGGTATAAGGGCCAGTACCACGTGCTGGGCGGACATCCTGCACCTGGTCATCAATCCGTGCCCAATACGAATTGAGCCGATTGCACCATCCAGAACATAACTTGGCCAAAACTACTCTGGTTTGTCTGGGCAGCTGATGTTCTTCATCTGCTATGGGTTGGGGGGTGAGCTCCGAAGACGGCATTCACTTTGTAACCATTCAGCGCTGCGGCTACTGCATCTGTATGAATGCCATTCAGACCTGCTCGATAGGCAACTTGATCTAGGCAGGTTTCTCCTTCGACGCAAACGAATCAGAGCTTTGTACAGCCCCCGACTGCGTTGGTCTCTTTGCAGCAGGTTGTTGTTCCTCCGAGGACCTCATACTCTTGACAGCCGTGGGCTGTGGCTCCCTTTTGTATTGTTGGATCTCTCTCTCTAGATCATGCAAATCCTTCCTAACACGCCTGGGTGGGGGAGTCCTATCCACCATATGATGGTTTAGATGCTCGTCCCTGAAACACCCGAGCAGGTACTGCAACGAAAGCATATTGCTGACGTTTGGGAAAGATCTTCGTCTCCTCATGAAGATGGTCCACTGGTGTCATGAGGAGGCACCCGGTCGCTGTCCTCAGAGCGGCATTCTGACAGGTCTGAATACTTCTCCATTGCGTATCACTAGAATTCGCAGACCACACTGGAACCGCATAGCTAGCCACAGACCGACCTATCGCTTTGTAAGAGGTCAACAAGGTTTCCTTATCTGCGCCCCAAGTGCTGCCGGCAAGCGACTTGAGGACCTTGTTCCTACTTTTCAACTTATCGCAGATAGCTGTGGTTTGCGCGGACGATTTGAACATGCTGTCGAATGTGACCTCGAGTATTTTGGGGTAGTTGGTGGTCGGAATTGTATGCCCCTCGACCTGCACAAACAAAACCCCGGACCGTGGTGATCTTAGTACAGGGTCGGGGGAACCTATCAATCAAGAAGTCCCTCTCAATATCGTTTGGATAGTTCCTGGACAACTTCCGGATAAATTTGAGGTTCCTCTTGATTAAAAGGAACACCTTTCCCGTGATGGAGTCGCTGTCCCGTCCGACGTATCGGTTGCAGTAGTCAACTGTTCTCTGGTACATCTTCTTGGCAGCGATCTCCTTGGCATCGACATGCCTAGTAGTTACTGGTACTGATGAATCATCCATCTTATCGACGGAGTTCTCATCAGTACCAGTATCCGTTTCGACAGCCAACTGCCTGATTAGTCTCGCAACATCACCACAGGCCCTGGAATGTAATTATGTAATGTAATTATTAGGCTGGTAACAGCTCTGCATTCTTTGTATGAAATAAAATAAATAAATCCAAGCCTTGTGTAGGTCCTTGAAAATATAAAAAAATAAAACTCCTCAATTTTGTAATCTTTACAAAATATACATTTTTTGTTGTATTTTTGTTTTTGTTGTTTTTTTTAATATAATTTCTTTTCGTTTTTATAAATAATTGCAATTAAATTTTAAGTACCAACTAATAATTATTATGAATAAACTTAAACTTATGGATATTCTAAATTAAATCGTATACGATAAGAAGGAGAATAAGAAGAAAAAAACGAAAATCAAAATAATAATAATAATAAGAATCTATGGGAAATTATATTGAAAATTCATGAATATAATTTTGTGATTTTTTTTTTTTTGTCTTAAATATTAGATTAGAAATTTGTAATTTACAAGCGTATTCCAAGGGTGATTTTAACCTAAATGGTTTATATTTTAGAAATTTTTAGTTTTTTTTTTTTTTTTTTTTTTTTTTTGTAAATAAATTGGTGTTATTCGTTTTCTATGCAAAAAAAATGATCACGATTTACAAATATTGGGGTTTTTCACGTTCTAAAAAATATATATTTTTTATATAAGCGGTATACAATATATACATTATAAAGTTTTTTTTATTTAATTACAGTTTGGGGTTTTATTCATTTAATTTATTTTTGGGTTTTGAGTGGCGTTGTGGTGAGTGTGTGTGGTTTTGCGGCAGGAGTCTCTCTGTGGTCTGAAAAGCGATTTGGTTGGTGGTGGTATAGAAGGGGTTCCAAAGTGAAATTTTAGACTTTAATTGCAAGATAATTCAAAGATTAATTTTTCACAAAAAAATAAATTTTTTATTAAAAAAATAATTTTTTTATAAAAAAATAATTTTTTATAAAATAATTTTTTTATAAAAAAATAATTTTTTATAAAAAAATAATTTTTTATAAAATAATTTTTTATATATAAAAAAATAATTTTTTATAAAAAAATAATTTTATAAAAAATAATTTAAATAAAAATAATTTTTTTAAAGGGATCCAAAGTGAAATTTAAGAACTTAATTGGAAGATTTTCTTTTACAAAAAAAAAAATAAAATAAAATTTTAAAAATAATTCAAAAATGTATTTTTTAAAAAGAAATATTTTTTTTTTTGTTATAAAAAATTATTTGTTTTAGGTTATGTGGAGAAAATTTCAATTTAATAAAAAATATATATATATATTCTTCAGTTATTTAATTTATATTCGCACCTTGAAGTTTTATTAAAATTTATTTTTTTTTTATAACCTCATTTTTTAGGTTAGGTTGAGAAAAAATATCGTTATTCTATACAAAAAAAGAAAAAAAATTGAAAAAAATACACAATTAATGTATTTGAAAGAAAATACCATTTGTGTGTATATAATTGTTAAATTTTTGAAAAAAAAATAATTTTTCATAACCTAAAATTTTTTCCAGGTTATGTGGAGGAAAAATTCAATTTTCCATTGGAAATTTAAAAAAAAATATATTTAATATTTTCTCTAGTTACAGAATATTTCAAATATTTTGTATTAAAGATTACCAATTGAAATATTAAAAAAAGAAAACAATTTAGTCAAAATCCAAAAAGTGAGGTTAGGACAGGTTTTTGGGGCCATAACCAAAAAAGTGAGGTTATGTTTTTTGCCTTTCGAAGTTTTTATAAAGAAAAATATTGCTTCCCAATAATGAATCCATGTAAGCTATTATTTAGTATTCCAATTTTCCAGTTTATATAGCTCAAAATTAATGTTTTTGGGGCAAAACCACTAAAAAGTGAGGTTATAAAAAATCATAACCTAACTTTTAATTTATTTTAACAACAAATCATAATTATTATAAAAAAATCCTTGTATCCATGTAACCATAGTTATTGTTAATTCATTATTTCATTGGAAATTTTTTCCAGACAAGTTGTCTGGGGTCAAACCCAAAAAAGGCAGGTTATTTTTCAACTTCTGAAAAATACTATATTTTTTTGGGCTACTAGGAACAAATTAATATTTTTCTTTTCATAGTTTTTTTTTTGTTTTTGTTTTCTTTGAAAAAATTCATACAAAATAAAAAATATCTTGCATTAAAAAAATTAATCCTCTCCCACGATTCCACCTAAAACAATGATTCCGAACCATCTTCCAATAATGTATCCATTAAATCCATATACCTTTGGAAATCATCATAGACTTGAATGTCATTGGGTAGCAATGAACCACCTCTAACACCACCACAACCAGCAGCACCACCTCCCCCGCCGTCTCCTCCACCTCCACCTCTCATTAAAGGCTATTTAGATGTTTTTGTTACACCACTACCGCCGCTGCTGCTGGTAAGATTCGAATAATTATTATTATTGTTATTATACAAATACGGTATAATATTTGGTTCAATTTCCAATTGTTGTTTGAGTATCGAACTCATCACGAACTCCGTCGATACAATCGGACATTTCGGGTTACCGAAACGTGTCAAATCTACACACAAATGCATATCATTGGGGCAGGTGACAATGATGTAGGCATTTGGTGATTGTGAATGCATCTCCGCAATAGCTTGGCCCGTACGACGTTTCTCTTCAACCTTACCACCCGATGATTCAATCATCCGAACAATTTCCGAACGTGCCGGAAAAACATCGGGCGTTACAAAGAAATAACGGCCCGCAAAAAGTGTTGAACGTGTTGTCGATTGCAGTACCGTATCCAAATGGAATTTTAAATTTTCATCGACTGGTATATATTCGATACGATACGGATCGGGTGGTAGAAATTTACCCGCTTTGGCACTTTCCACCAACCACTGGGATTTCAGAACATAATCGACATGGCAGACAGCTTGTATTAGTTTACAGGTACGACTTTCGCGTGTCATTACGAGATAGGTGGCATCGGCGGGATTGTCAACAACAATGCCACCCAGGGAGCTGTAAAATAAGATGGAATAATTTATTAGTATTTCTTTTGAGGTTATTTATTTAAGTCCAACTTACACAACAGCCTTTTTAAGCGATTCCGGATCGGCAACTTGTGAAAACAAAACCTTGGGCGGTTTGGCCGTTTGTGGATACTCAACACAGAGTATGGTTTCAGGTATCTCTTCTTGATATGGTGAAATTTTCTGACGCTTAGCCTTTTCATAATATGGATCGGCTAAATAGCGTTTAACACGTTCGTGAGCTTCTTGGGTTAGGTTGATGGGTGCCTTCCAGGCAGCTGAAAAAAATAAGAAATTTGGTGAATTAAAAAAATCTGAAAGAAAAAAATTCTGAAAATTCAAAAAATTTTGGGAGGTTCGGTCATACAGGGGTACTCTAAAAATTGGACCCATATTGATTTATTTTTGTAGGTTGACAATGAGAATCCAAAATATCCAAAAACTGCAATTTCGGTTTAAAAATTTGCGAAAATATCGAATAATGGGGGTAGCGATATATGGAGGGTACCCCGAAACTTGGATCAATATCGATCATTTTTTGCAGGAAGATTGTCCAATGAGAACACAAAATATAAAATTACAACCATTTTGACTGAAAAACATGCCAAATATCCGGAAAAAAGGAATTTTCGGAGGTTCCGTTCTATGGGAGCTAACCTAAAAATTTGACCAATATTGATAATTTTTGGTAGGAAATTTTTTTACCCAATGAGAACCCAATATGCAAAATTATAGCCATTTCGGTTGGAAAAACGTGCCCAAGATCCCAAAAATAAGGAATTTGGAGAGGTTCCGTTATAACCGATCTAACCTAAAAATTTGACTAATTTTAATCATGTTATGTAGGAAGATTAACACCCATTAAGTATTCAAAATACCAAATAACAGCCATTTCAGTTTTAAACACGTACCCAACATCTGAAAAAAACCGACGTTGGCGAGGTTCCGTTATATGGGAGCTACCCTAGAAAGTGTACCAATATTAATCATTTTTGGAAGGAAGATTTACTACCCAACAAATACTCAAAATACCAAATTACAGCCATTTCGGATTGAAAAACAAATCTCCCGAAAATACTAAAATATGGGAGGTTCCGTTATATGGGATCTGCCCAACAAAATGGACCAATATTAACAATTTTTCGTAGGAAGATTTCCTACTCAATGATTACCCAAAATACTAAATTACAGCCATTTTGGTTGAAAAACTTGCCTCAAAATACAGAAATTGGGAAATCAAATTTTAGGTTATGTTCAAGGGTTGAAAAGTTAACAAAGATATCGGTTATATGTCATCAGAGAATAAAAAAAATGTATGTTAGCCTCCACCAAACAAAATTAGAAGTACATATGTAAAAAACTGTAACTGCCGATGTTTTGAAAAGGTTAATATTTTATGTTCGTTGATTGGCTTTGCCGGTATGCTGGCGTTTTGCGCGGCTAAAGCTCGCCGGATGAGGGGTGGTTCTTGCCAACCAATAAACGATACGGCTGTACAAAAAAAAAATAAATCATACCGGGCTTTTAATTGAAATAAATTAATGAAATTTTGGGAAACCCGAAATATGCCAGAAAAAGAAAATGAAGAAAAAAATATAAAAAAATAATGCTTGTAATTTAACTACACCAACCTATAAGTATAGAAACAGTTGTTCCCCGACGGTTAACCTGCCGAGGAAACTCCCACCCACCGAGATTCCTTCTCGCCATGACACATTTTTGTGTCCCTAATCTGACCTACCCCTTCCTCTCCTTTACCACATCCCTACCACCCGCCTAAAATATTCTTCACACCAAATACATTTCAATTTATTTACAGAAAATTATATCATTAATTACCATATTTTTTTCTCCACTATTTTCAGGGTAATCTTCCCCAAAGCTCGCGTATGGTATGTTCGTAAGTATATAGTAGCCTTTTTTAATACATTCCAGTATTTTTATATTTTCTAATTTCTTTTTTTTTTTTTGTGTTTCAAATATACAGAAAGAGGCAACCAAGGCGTGTCTGCCTTTACACTTCAAAGGCTGTCTATGTTGGTGGTCCCTAATCCTGGCCTGAGCTCAACCCCGAATTAGAACAATAAAAAACAACAGGTGACCACAATTGATATAAAGAAAATGCACTTGTTCACCCTTTAACTTTGTTCATTTTTTTTTTATAGCAAGATCAGTTTTGGAATATATCAAATTCGAAGCTGGTCGTCCGTCTGTCCGTCCGGCGTTCAAAGTATGTAGTCGCTTTGGCAAGATACCTGGGCATGCCGGACTGGTCATGCCATAAAGTGCTGATTCTCCCTCGTTGGATTGGATGTGCGATGCTGTGGCTCCTGATATTTCTTTTTAATTTTATTTTAAGCAAAATTAATTTTCAAATGTTTAATATTTTCATGCACCTTCAATTGGTTTCTGTTTGTATTGTATTGCTGTTTTGTGTTGTCTTTCAAATTCAAAAACAATATTCCACAATAAAAAAGTTCGAATTGAAATTTAAAAAAGAGGTATTTTCTTCACTCCAATCAGGGCCACACAACCAATCTTCATCAAAGGTCAAATCAAAAAGGAACGAAATTTATCCATTTCGTAAGGAAGAAAAACTCCTGTCATCATCTTTTATTCTTTTGTTTATACTTTCTTCCAATTCTCTCAGTCGTGTTTTGTTTGACATTATTCACAAACATATGGTTTGACTATTGTGAATGATTGTAAATATGCATGCTTCTTCTTATTTTCAATAGCAAACAGAGGCGCACCCCACAAAACTTACCCATTAGATGTGGCACCAGACCATAATCAATACGGAATGGCGGTTGTATGGTAAACTGTTGATATTTTTGATTATCGTATTGGGACATGGAACTTAAATTTCCAATGGTTATATCACTTAACCACAACGTGTTGACAATGGGTATATTCCATTCTTTGGCGGCGTTATACATTTCCCCCTCCAGCTTTTTGCACACCAATACCGTATTCATTTTCGACAGGTATGACGTATAGATTGCCCCGCATTCTTGGACCATTTGTTTAATACGATGTTCCTCTTCCGGTTCGAAACCGTTTGAGGCAATTATATGCCGTTCCAAGGGTTTCTGATGACCAAATTGACTGGGAAAGGGTAAATGTAGGGGTTGCCAAGGTGGCAGCAGCTGCTTTTTGAGGCAGATATCACTTAGCCAATAGGCTGTTATGCATCGTTTCGATTCACGCAGTGCCTGCATAACGACACCGTGACGTTGGGTACGACACAGAACATGGGTGACACGCGGACAATAGACCTTTTCAATATCACCACCAAATTGTCGTATCGTTTCCATCCAAATGGGTAACTCTTCACCATCGGTTTCTTCATACTCTTCGACAATGTAAAAGGTGCAACCGACCAAAAAGAGATCGGGAGGTAGTTTTAAATTGGGATTGTGACCATAATATTGTGGCCTTTGGGGTATGGGGATTTGAGCAACACGACCCTGTTGAATATAACCGGCTGGGGTCATTATCCCCTGGCCATGACCATGGCCATGCAATTGTCCAGGAGCTGCAACAATCTGCTGCTGCTGTACTGTACCACCAGCTCCACCACCGGCTGTTACTATCAGCTGTTGTTGGACAATTTGCTGGGGTTGTCCTGGTACACCAGCGGCAATAATATTGTTGGCAGCTACTGGACCGCCGACCGTTGACATTTGACTTTGCAGAATGGGTCGGCGCATTTGCTGTTGTTGTTGCTGCTGCTGTTGTAGGAGCAGCAATTCCTGTTGGCTACGAACTACTCCCACAACACCACCAGGCGCAACACCAACTTGCTGTTGGCTAATTATTTGATTGACTGGTCCCGCTGCTGCATTGGCATGGATGGGAGATGGAGGAGGGGGTTGTTGTTGCATATTGGCATTGTGTTGTTGGGTCATTAGGCGTAATGTCCCAGCGGCACTGGCTTCCATTGTTTGCTGGCCAGCAGCAGTACCACCACCAATGACACCACCAGCTGATGCTTGGATACCACCGGTATTAAGGAGTTGTTGTTGACCAGCTGAGGACAATTGTTGTTGTGGTTGTTGCTGTTGATTCATGAGAATGTGTTGTTGTTGTTGTGGTCCGGCCACAACAACTTGGGTTTGTTGTATAATTTGTGGTTGTTGCTGTAATTGGGGATGTTGCTGTTGAAGCTGTTGTTGTTGCTGCTGTTTGGCGGCCAATACCTGTTGATGCTGCTGTTGTTGTTGTAATTGACCCGTGTTGGGATCTTGTATCATTTGTATCATCGATTGTTGCTGCTGCAATTGCTGTTGTTGTTGTACCACCTGTTGCTGTTGATTTGGCTGTTGTTGTTGCTGCTGTTGGACCCGACTATTTAACATTTTGGCCAGGGCCGTTTTGGTATTCAAATTCATTTGTTGTTGTTGGGTCTGGGGCATATTAACCTGCTGCTGCTGTTGCTGTTGCATTTGGGCCTCGCCAACAACACCACCACCGACGGATGATGGTATGCCCTGATTTGTCATTACCACAGTTTGTGGGGCTAATGTTGTAATGATATTTCCAGAATTTTGAAGAGCTATTTATTGGAGAAAAAAAATTACAAGAAAAGAAAAAAAAGAGAACATACAACACGATATCTTAGTTAAAAATTCGGATTTCTTCGGGTATTCATTTTATTCTTTTAACCAAAAAAAAAAAAACAATCAAAAATAAAAATCGATTTAAAAGCGTGCCCAAAATCTCCAAAATACCGAAATTTGGAAAGTCCGTTCTATGGGAACTACCCTAAAAAGTGACCCAATATTAAAAAAAAATACCAAATTGCAGCCATTTCGCTTTGAGAAACCTGCCGAATCTCCCAAAATAACGAAATTGAGGAGGTTCCTTTATATGGGGAGCTAACCTAAAAAAATTTAATAATTTTTGAGAAACCTGTCGAATCTCCCAAAATAACGAAATTGAGGAGGTTCCGTTATATGGGGAGCAAACCTAAAAAAATTTAATAATGCCGATAATTGTTGATAATGAAGATTTGCTACTCAATTAGAACACAAAATACCAAATTACAGTCATTTGAAAAACATGCCCAAGATCTGTTAAATAGAAGTTGGGAAGGCCTTGAAAAAATATTCTTTAAAAAATCTACGCCTTGATTAGGTCTTGAAAAAAATGTTGATTAGGCCTTAAAAATATTTATTAAAAAATCTACGCCCTGATTAGGCCTTGAAAAAATACCAAATTACAGTCATTTCTATTTGAAAAACATGCCCAAGATCTGTTAAATAGAAGTTGGGAAGGCCTTGAAAAATAGCAAATTTCAGTTATTTCGGTTTGAAAAACATGCCCACGATCTGTTAAATAGAAGTTGGGAAGGCCTTGAAAAAATATTTAAAAAATGTTCGCCTTGAAAAGGCCTTCTTTAAAAATTCTACACCCTGATTAGGTCTTGAAAAATTAGTCATTTAAAAAATCTACGCCTTGTTTAGGCCTTGAAAAAATATTCTTTAAAAAATCTACGCCCTGATAAGGCCTTGAAAAAATAGTCTTTTAAAAAAATCTACGCCTTGTGTAGGCCTTGAAAAAATAAATAAAATCTACCTTAAAATGTGGGCCAATATTGATATATTTGGTAAGAGCGCAGGCTGGATGCGCCCATTCTCGGCGATAATAGGTGTGTTCGTAACTCATAAAAAATAAGATTAAATTAAAAAAAAATAAATTTCTTACCTTGACCACCACCACCCTGCATTGCTTGACCTTGACCTCCAACCATTTGATTGGTTACCACCGTTTGCTGCTGCTGAGGCTGTTGGATAATTGTTTGCTGTTCGATAACCTGGCCACCGGGACCGGTAATAACTTGTACAGTTTGATGGCCAGGTTTTTGACTAATAATTTGTTGCTGGACCACCTGTTGTTGTTGAGCCGCTTGTTGTTGCTGTTGTTGTTGCAATTGAACACGTAATTGTTGCCGTTGTAGCAGGATTTGTTGTTGATTGGGATCATTGGGATTGAACATTTGTTGTTGTTGTTGCTGCTGCTGTAATTGTTGTTGTTGTGCTCCGACCGTGCTAATTTGTTGCTGAGTGGCAATGGGCGTTAAACCTGGTGCCCTACCCGCCGTTCGCACTACAACTTGCCGCTGTTGTTGTTGCAGCCATTGTATCTGTTGTTGCTGCGTCAGTCCTGCGGGCATTTGTGACTGGACAATGATGTGTTGCGTTGTGGGTCCCTGCATTGGCCTTGGTGGTGTACCCAATGTACTGGCGGCCACAACATTTGGTGCCCCCGGCGGTCTTGGTGGATAGGCAACCTGTTGCCGCACCATTACCCGTTGTTTACTCTGCTGCAATTTCGAAATGTATTCCGCTTTTTTAATCGGATCCAAGGACATGAAATGGGCATGAGTTTTATCATCGAGCTGGATTAGTTGTCGTTGAGGTTGAGCGCCGGGGGGAAGACCGGCTGCCTGGCCGGGCCATTGACCCGGTGTGGTGGGACGTATGGAACGTATAAATTGTTGTTGTTGCTGCGGCTGTTGAGGTTGCTGTTGTTGTTGCGGCGGTATGATTTGTTGTATTTGTGATTGTTGGCCTTGTAGGGGAGATTGTAGGCCGCCGCCGCCACTTGAATTGGGTGTACCCGGCGCCGGACTTTGTGGTGACCAATGAGGTTGTTGTTGCTGCTGCTGTTGTTGCTGTTGATGTTGTGGTGAGGTGGCTTGTTGTATTAATATTTGTTGTTGTTGTTGCTGGGGTGATTGAGGCGGTGGTGTTTGTTGAGGCATCCGCTGACCCTGCGGCTGTTGCTGCTGCTGAATGAGCACTGTTTGTTGTATGGTGGGTTGTTGTTGTAAAATAATTTGTTGTTGATGCTGTGGCGATTGAATTATTTGTTGCTGCTGCTGTTGAGAATCTATTATTTGCTGTTGTTGCTGGATTTGCATTTGTTGTTGCTGCTGCTGCTGTTTTTGCTGTTGCACCAAAATTTGTTGTTGCTGCTGCTGTTGTGGACTTTGTAAAATCGTCTGGCTGCCACTCAAAATATGTTGTTGTGGTATTGTTTGTTGTATTATGATCTGTTGCTGTTGTTGTTGCCCCGGATGCTGGGGACTTTGCTGTAGAATTTGTTGTTGTACAATTTGCTGCTGTGCAGGACCTGTTTGTTGTTGCTGCTGCTGACCCACAACAATTGCATTGGATTGCTGTTGTTGCTGTTGCAATTGGGCTTTTTGTTGAAACTGCAATTGTTGTTGTTGCTGCTGTAAATATTGCAACCTTTGCGGATTATTGATAATTTGTTGATTGATAACAATTTGTTGTTGTTGCTGCTGTTGTGGATGAGGAGTTTGATGCTGAATTTGTTGTTGTTGTTGGGGTGAAGCATTGGGCGCCACTTGGTGCTGCTGCAAAAGTATTCTCTGCTGCTGCTGCTGTGGGGATGCTTGAATTACATTGCCCTCCAAATCCATGACCTGTTGCTGATGTACAATTGTCTGCTGTTGTTGGGGTCTCTGCCCATACATTGGAGGGGGTTGTTGTTGTTGCTGCTGTTTCATCATTTGATTTGGACTTTGGGCAATTTGTTGGACAATTTGTGTCTGCTGTTGTTGAGGTTGGGGTTGTTGTCCTACCACCGTTTGCATTTGCTGCTGCTGAGGCTGTTGGAGTTGTTGTTGTTGCCCCGCGGCTGCCGCTGCCTGCTGTTGTTGCAATTGTTGTTGCTGCTGCTGTTGCATTGCCGTAACATTTGTCTGATTCACAATAAAGAAATTCTGATTCTGTTGATTTTGTGTTAATATTTGTTGTTGTTGTTGCAGACTTAATTGATTAAATTGTTGTTGGCTAATAATATATTTGGGTTTATTTGGTTGACCACCACCACCACCAGGGGGTACCGGTGGCTGAGGAGAAGGTGTTACCGCGGTGTTAGTATTACCCGCTGTGTTAAGGACCACCTGTTGCTGTAATTGTCCCCCTGTCACTTGTTGTTGCTGTTGAGTATTTTGAATTTGTAGTTGTTGTTGTTGCTGCTGTTGCAACTGAGCCTGTCTTTGCTGTAATATTTGTTGCTGTTGTTGTTGTTGTGCGTTAGATGTTTGAAATGTGGTGGTGGTACCGGGGGCCGGTTGTATGGTCTGTTGGATAATACGAACCCCACCGCCGACTCCCGCCTGAGTTTGCTGTTGTGTCTGTATTAATTGTTGTTGCTGCTGCTGTTGCAGAATTAATTGCTGTTGTTGCTGACGTTGCTCCTGCTGCTGGGGTGAGGTACCCACAAATTGCATTTGTTGTTGTTGGTGAGTGGGGGATTGTTGGACAACTTGTTGTTGTTGCTGCTGGACAACTTGTTGCTGTTGTATTTGTTGTTGTTGTTGCGGGTTACCTATTATGGTCTGCTGTATTGCCTGTTGCTGCTGTGGCGACACCATTCCCGTTTTTTGTTGTATAATTTGTTGCTGTGCCGCTTGCTGTTGTTGTTGTAATTGCACCATTTGTTGTTGTTTTTGTTGCACATTCACCATATGACTTTGTATAATTTGTTGGCCCTGAACTGTGGCCGTATTGATGACCTGCCGTTGTTGGCCCACAACACCACCACCACCAACAACAACATTTGGATTGGAATTGGAATTGTTAAGTAGTTGTTGTTGTTGTTGCTGAGATTGTTGTTGAGGTTGTTGCTGCGGCTGCTGCTGCTGTGGTGAAGGTTGCTGCGGCTGTTGGGACTGAGCTTGGGTTTGTTGTTGCTGCTGCTGTTGTTGTTGTTGCTGTTGCAATTGTTGCTGCTGCTGTAATTGCTGTTGTTGTTTCATTTGTTGCGTTCTCATTATCAGCGATTCATGATTGGGACTGGGTGCCGAACGACTTAGAATTTGAGCCACCTGTACCGGATCGGTGGGATCTATCGGCTTATGACTTGAAATTTGCATTTTCGTTTGCTGCTGCTGCTGTTGCATGCTGGGAGATGGTGGAGCCGGTGAGGCTCTATGTTGTGGAGATTGTTGTTGCTGTTGTTGTTGTTGCTGCTGCATTTGTTGCATTTGTAATTGAACACGCTGGGGCTGCTGGAAGGGTTGCGGAGACATCATGTGCTGGGGAGATTGCTGCTGTTGTCTCTGTTGCTGCTGCTGTTGTTGTTGCGATTGTCTTACTTGTTGCAATTGTTGGCGCAATTGTTGCTGTTGCTGTTGTTGTTGTTGCTGGGTAGCAGCCATGCCAGGTGATTGTGGTGGCGGGGGTGGTGTCATTTGTGGTGCTGGCGACTGCAGCTGGCGGGGTGAGGGATGTTGTTGCATACGCGGTGATTGTTGTTGCTGTTGTTGTAGCATTTGTTGTTGCTGTTGAGCCTGTTGCTGCATTTGTAATTGTTGTTGCAATTGCTGTTGTTGCTGCACCAATTGCTGCTGCTGTTGTTGTATTTGCCGCTGCAGCGCCTGTTGCTGGGGTGTCAAACTTTGTCCACTTTGTATTTGCTGTTGTAATTGCATTTGTTGTTGTTGCAAAATGTGCTGCTGCCTAAGGATGTGTTGATTGAGCATTTGTGGCGACATGGTAATAGTCTGCTGCTGCGTTTGGGGACTAGGCTGTTGTTGTATCACTTGACCCACCCCCGATTGTTGCTGATTCATCGTCGTCGGGGTGGTGTTGTTGGAGGGAGACATTTGTATTTGAGAGATGTGTTGCGGCGACTGGCCAGGTGGTTGTGGTGTGGTCGAAGGTTGTGGTGTCCGTGGGGCCTGTGGTGTTTGACGACCACTAATCGGTTGCGGTGTGCGTGGAGGTTGTGGTGTACCCGGCTGGGGGGTTGGTGTCCTCGAGTCGGGATTGCTAGAGGTGGGGGTACGTGGAGGCTGTGGCATAAATTGTTGTTGTTGTGATTGTGCCTGGTTGGGTGATTGTAGGGGTTGCAAGGGTTGTTGTTGGGCATGTTGTTGAACATGTTGCTGTTGCTGCTGCTGCAGGTTAACATTTGGTATAATTTTTTGTTGCAAAATAATTTGCTGAGGTGGTCCACCGGCCATACCCGGTGTGGTAATGGCACTTGTTGTTGTACCTGCTGTTACCGTCTGCTGCTGTGAAACTTGTGATGTTTGCATGAGATGTTGTTGTTGCAACATTTGTTGTTGTTGCTGTTGTTGTTGTTGCTGATTAACACTACGTGGCCGCACAAACACAATTTGTGATTGTTGTTGTGGCTGCTGGTGGTGTTGTGGTGAGGCAGCTGGAGCTGGAGGAGGAGGAGGTGGTGGTTGTGGCTGTGGTTGTTGTAATTGTAAATTGGTCGTTGTTATGGAATTATCCAAGGAGATATTACCTCCAAAAGGCGATGATGATGTTGACGTTGTTATTGTTGAGGCTGGTGGTATATCACTTTTTGCTGTTGTGGGTGTGGAAGAAGATGAGGTAGTTGTAGCTGCAACAAACGTGCCCGGTGTCGTTGGTGAGCAGGATGTTGATAGAGCTGATTGGGTTTGCTGTTGCTGCTGTTGTGGTTGTTGTTGTTGAGTTAGGGCAGTCTTATTGTTGTCTTTAGCAGCGGCAGCCGTGATTTGGACAGCTGCTGCCTGTAATTGCGATTTTATATTGGCTATACTTTGTGCAGCATCCAATGTTGAGACCGATGTCGATTCGGTGGCCTTATCTATGAGGGTATCATCATCAAAACCTAAAATATTGGATAAAGTTTGTTCAACTGAGGGCGGGACGACAGTTGATTGAGCTGTGGATTGTTGCTGCTGCTGTTGTTGTGGAGGTGGCTGTGGCTGAGACGCCTGTTGTGTGGCTACTGAAGGCGGGAGATTACTGGCATTCGTTGGCGTTGATGTAGTTGGTGTTGCTGGAGTTGGTGTTGTTACTACTTTATTGTTAGTTCCACTGGATGTGATGGATGCAGAGGCTGTCGCCGCTGATATTTGAGGTAATTTCGGTTTCTCGACAATTTTCAATAGCCGCGGATGATATCCATCACATGGTAATAATTTCTTTTGTTTCAAACAATCCAATACCCAATCGGGTGTAACAATGCTTATGGCACTTTTGGGTAAAGCAATAGCTTTCGCATACACGGGACCACCAGCCATACCGGCAATTAAATGACTATTATTACCGGTGAAATTAGTGGTGACCTGTGCCCCATTATATGTCAGCATGGCATATAAACGTTTACGATCCATGGCGGAGACATTAACAATTGCCACGGAAATATTTTTCATCAGACGATTAACACTGGGGTCAAAGGCTGCCGTGGACGCCAAACGACCCAATTTGACACTGTGTATTACCCATTGTTCGGTAACGGGTATCACTGTGTAGAGATCCAAACTCATAACCAATTCATCTTCCGGATAATTCGGAGCACATATTAAATGTGTAACCATATCGGTGAGAAAGGGTTTTTTCTGGGCACCGCCATTTTTTAGCAATTGGTCGATCTGCAATAAGAAAACAACAACAGCATATTAGAATAATATAAAATAAAAAAATATATATAAAATTTACGAAATTCCTTTGGAAATTGTGTAAATATTTTCCATGTGTCACCCTGTCTCAAAATTATAACATTTTAACCGCATTCATGCACAAGAACGAACACACACATTCACAGCAACAGCCTGACAACTGATTGTCAAAACTAAGCGCCTTTAATCATTAGAATTGGCTAAACCCCTCCAATTTTTTTTGTTTCTTTTTTTTTTGCCATTGGCCCTACTCTACTTACCTCCTCCTCTAGATTGCCCACAACAAAATAGCGTATATTTGTAAACAAATTTTCACTGATTTTTAAGTTTTCCATGATGATTTTCTGCTTCGTTTTATTTTCCGCTTTATTTTCACATTGATCAGCAAGCAAGCAACCAAAACGGGCAGGCAGACTTCTTTGTTGTTTTCTGTGTTAAATGGCTAAGCGCGAGCGTGTCTCTTCGTGTTTTTTTCTTGCTTTCCGCTGGGACACACAACACAGCAGCCCCACAAATTTAATCACACACAATTTTCACGTCGTTCGAATGCAATTAATGGCCAAATTTCATTTAATAACACAACAAGACAAGTTTATTTGTACTGTGCACATCTTTTTATAGCGTTAAACATAATTAAAATAAGGTATTTTTCGTTTATTTCGTGTCTGCTAAATCAAATTAAATCAAACCAAAAAAAGAACGCCACACACTGTACTAGGTGATTAGGGTGAGTTAGATCGTTTTTGTGACTCTCTCTCTCGCAAAACAATGTGTTGTCATTTCCGGATGAATGCTCATGTTAACATTTTGATGTGTTTTGATATTAAACAGCAGACGAAGGAAAGTTCATTTTTGGTTCCATTCAGTGAATAAATAGCTCATTGAACAAATATAAACAAAATAACATGGTACAATTATAAAAGGTAACAGCAAATCCCAGCTGATTTGATTCCAACGTAATACTAGTGTCAATATGCATTTGACAAATTATGTTTTTAAAAATCACCCAACAGGAAAATTGTGAACGCATACAATTTGAAATTGTTCTTTTTTAATGTGCTCCCGTATTCAATTTACTCAATCTGCCTGCTGGGAAAGTTTGAGGAAGCAAATCTTTCTTGAAGGAATTACTCGCTATTCCCAGCATTGTCATATGTGTTACACATATATATGGCAATGGCTCAATTAAAGGATAGATGTGGAAGCGATAGAAATATAAATTTGATAGATTTTCATTCATGTTTTTCAATTTTTATTTTGAGGATTCGAAAATATTTCATTTTCAAAATAAAAATAATTTGATGATAATTTCTTTGTTTGTTTACATTTTTCTGTCAAATGAGTTGACACTAGTAGAACTTACAACAACAAATTTCCATGTGGTTGTTGTATCGTTTTTTGTACAACAACACTTGCTGTTACCTTTTATTATTATACCATGACAAAATAATTGCCTATCTTGGTAATATTTACAGGGTATTTATGGGAAGTTGCCAATCTCCTACTAGGCGCTTTTTTTCGGGGGTGGTGGATGGGAAGTGGGTTTCTACGATGTGCAGAGTGGAGCTGACCTATGTCAAACCATGGTACAATAATACAAGGTAGGGCAGCTTGAGTTGAATAACAATAAAGCAACTATGTAGGTGGTGGCTTGTTCTGTCAAATATTTTTTTTACATTTTTTCAACACATAACTAAAAACGCGAACAATTATGATTTCTTTCCAAAATCCAGTAGGGAATACCATGAAATATTCATTTCATCCATAACAAAGTAATTACTTCCAGACGGATGCATTAAAAACATAATTTTCATTTCAATTAAATTTTAATATAATTCAATTTATTTGACATAGTATTCAAAACAATACACACATACATAAAATATGTACTTTGATTTGATGAAACAAATCTAGTCAAACCTAGTCAAGACTGGGCGACTTACAGGTCTGGGTGGGGATACCGACAATAAGTTTCAAAGACAGACTGCGACTGAACCGATGTCCGACGATGGGGAATCTATCGAGACCCCAGCAACGGACACAACACAAAAAATGAATGGAATTTCAGGGTTTCTTTTCAAAATCGAGTTGGGAAAATGATTTAGATATTGATTCATCCACAAATCATAAATTTCTTTTTAACAATGTTGTAAAATTAATTTTTAAACAAATGGATCTTAGACTATATATTTTTTTGAATGATACGCCTGCCCGAAGAGTTATAGAACTGACAGTTAAAAATTGTAGTGTGTACTTTCCCAAGATCTATTAATGGTCTACCTTGATGACCTTTTTTATAGGCCTTGTACTCCCATTTACCCATGATGCAATAATAAGGTGATGTATCAAGACAAAAACCTTTGGTTTTGTTTCGACCATCTGCCAAATTTGTCCTTATAATATTTCACATGGTTGCCAACATTGCACATTGAATTCAAGTAGAAATTACGCACTTTGACATCAGATGCGCTAAATGGACTACCTATTTATTGTACTATGCATTTACCTTATTATTGCTTATTGCTTGAAATATGGAAAGTTTCTCCCCAGTTCCTTTTAGTGAATAACAAATCAATTGAACCAGCCGTTCATCCATAGCCGCATTTATTGAATAACAATTAGCGTTGAACTGTAGTATTGACTTAAACTAAATGCAACTAGTTCTTAATTCTCATATTTGTTCATTAAAGTGAATTGTTGTTTTGAACTCTTAAAAAACAAAACAATTGCAAAGGACTGTTGTGTGCCAATGTCTCCTTAAGGATTGCTCCAAATCAAGTCCTTTTTTTTGCTCCTGATATGGAAAATACGACTCTTTTATCATAAATTAAAAAAAACTAACCTGCATTTATTCGAAAGAAAGACACTAAATCAATAATTAGAAAGAATAAAGAAAATGTCCAACAGTAATACTGACACTGGTGACACCGTTTTGTCACAGGATACGAATTTAACACCCATTACGACGACATTAACATCTAATGAACGTGGCAAACTCTTAACAAATATTGAACCCATCGAAGTGGTCACATTGATAAGTGATGATTCGGATACGGAGCCATCGCCAAAACGAAAACCTGCAGTGTCAAATGTTACAACGTGTAGCGGCGGTGGAGGAGGTATCACAAGCGTCACCCATGTTGGCGGCGGTAGCGCTCCTAGTAGTGTCAAAAAATATACCACTGAGGGGGCTGCGGGTGAAGATTCCAATGATGGCCATCATGATGAACGACGCACAAGTCGCCGCATCAAACCCCGTGTAGATTATACAAATAAAACAAGTACTACCACCACCACAAATGCAGATGAAAAACCAGCTACACCATCCGGAGCTGCGGCCGGAGCGGCGGGACATCATCATCATTCGTCCAACGCAAGTGTTCACAGTAATTCCGAAAAGAAATCCGATTCTCGTTCCAGAAAATCTGAATCCCTTAAAAGTCCCTATGCCAAAGAGATTACCGATCCCCGGGAAGCGGCCGCCGCCGCTGCTGAGGCATACAAGGAGATATTGACCGGCTTGGAGGGTGCAGCATTTCAGTCAAGGCTACCCTTTGATAAAATGACCTCAAATGAGGCAGCCTGCTTTCCAGATATCACCAAGACGGGTTTGGTGGCCCAACGTGTGTTCCTTAATATAAGAAATCGTCTGCTGCAAATGTGGATCGAAAATCCAAAACAACAACTGATATTGGAAAATGCCCTCAAGGACATGGAACCACCGTTTGATAGTGATCCGAATTTAGTTAAACGTATCCATTCCTTTCTCGAACGTCATGGTTTTATAAACTTCGGCATTTTTAAACGTCTCCGCCCCATACCCAGCAAAAAGCTGGGCAAGGTCATTGTTATTGGGGCGGGTATTTCGGGCTTGGCTGCCGCTCAACAGTTACAACAATTTGGCATGGATGTAATTGTCTTGGAGGCCAGGGATCGTGTGGGAGGTCGTATTGCCACATTTCGCAAAAATAACTACATTGCCGATTTGGGCGCCATGGTTGTGACCGGTGTCTGGGGTAATCCCATGACAATACTTAGCAAACAAATTGGCATGGAAATGATACCAATACGACAGGCATGTCCCCTATATGGGGCTGGTGGTAAACCTGTACCCAAACACAAGGATGATATGGTGGAGCGGGAGTTCAATCGTCTATTGGAATCGGCCAGTTATCTATCCCACCAATTGGACTTCAATTATGCCGGTAATAATCCGGTGTCTTTGGGTCAAGCTTTGGAATGGATTATAAAGCTGCAAGAAAAATCGGTCAAGGAGAAACAGGTGCAGTATCTGAGTCAGCTGTGTGAGGCCCAAAAGGCCATAATTGACAATCAAACGAAAACTTCGAGAATTTTGACAAGGATACGTCAATTGAAGAGTCAGCATGCCAAGTTGTTGCGTACACGGCCGCCACGTGTGGAGGGTGAGAGCGGTGGCAGCAGCAGCAGTGCATATGCCGAACATGAGTTCGAAATACGTTCCACCCACTATGAATGGACGAAGGCATGCAAACAATACGACGAACTTCTAAAGGAGGAGGAAGTGTTGCAGAATAAACTCAAGGAATTGGAAACGAACCCACCAAGGTAAGTGCATACGAAAAATCGAAGGAAATTGGAGAAATAATCGTTTTTCTTTCTATCTCCGCCCAGCGATGTTTACCTCTCATCCAAAGATCGCCAAATACTCGACTGGCATTTTGCCAATTTGGAATTTGCCAATGCCACCCCACTGTGCAATCTTTCGCTCAAGCACTGGGATCAAGATGATGATTTCGAATTTATTGGCAATCACACCACTGTGCGCAATGGTTATTCTTGTGTTCCCATCGCCTTGACCGAGGGCTTGGATATTCGCGTCAATACTGCCGTTAAAACCATTAAATATTTCCCAACCGGTGTTGAGATTGTGGCGGAGAATTTAAAAACCAACAATTCATCGGTTACTTATAAGGCTGATTTGGTTTTGTGTACCCTAACATTAGGGGTGCTGAAAATTGCCACCGCCAAGGTTCAGTCACAACAGGCGAATACTGTGAAATTTGAACCTGCGCTACCGGATTGGAAACAACAGGCCATACAACGTTTGGGTTTCGGTAATCTCAATAAAGTGGTGCTGTGTTTCGATCGCATTTTTTGGGATCCAAATACAAATTTGTTTGGTCATGTGGGCAGCACCACGGCCAGTCGTGGTGAATTGTTTCTATTTTGGAGTATATCCTCATCGCCAGTACTACTAGCCTTGGTGGCCGGACGTTCCGCGGCCATAATGGAAAATGTCTCCGACGATGTGATTGTGGGCCGCTGCATTGCCGTACTCAAGGGAATATTTGGTAATGGTTCGGTGCCGCAGCCCAAGGAAACAGTTGTGACACGCTGGCGTGCCGATCCCTGGGCTCGGGGTTCATATAGCTTCGTATCGGTCGGTTCATCGGGCAGTGATTATGATCTATTGGCCGCCCCTGTTATACCACCCAACGTAAATAATCCCAAACCCAATCAGGAATTGGATGAGTTGCCACGGCTCTTTTTTGCCGGTGAACATACAATACGCAATTATCCCGCCACGGTGCATGGTGCTTTTTTGAGCGGTCTACGTGAAGCCGGACGTATTGCTGACTATTATTTGGGATATCCAGAGGGTACACCACCCGACATTGGCTATTCGGTGGTGGAGGCGGCAAATACCGCTTCCGTGGGTGACACCGTGGATTTAGTGGATATAGCCCATTCGACGGACTCGTCATCAAAGACCTCAGATGATAAGTCAAATCCTGCCGATATAAATGAGTGAAATATAGTTTCACATTTATTTTCTTCTTCTAGTAGTAGTAGTCGTCGTAGTAGTTGTAATAGTAGTTTTGAAATTGAAATATCCTAGTCCATGATTTTGGAATTGCCTGTGAGAGAGGGACAATTGAGCGTTGTATGGCCTCCTCCTCATCTACAAAATGGGAATTGTGGCAAGAACATTTTCTAACACCTGATTAACATTGGGCAAATTTCCATGGCCTCACTACAGAAGTTCGAAGCTGGAGAGATGAAAAGAAACGCCTAATGTAAATGAGGACCAAAAATATAAATCAGGACCCAAGGCCTATTAATAAGGTCACCCTGGGAGACCAGCTGTATATCAGCTGCTTCTTAAGTTAGCTGTCAACATCTATTATTGTGAATTGAAGTGTGTTATGAAAACGTAAACAACATCGAAATTTTTGATATAAAACTTTAGAAAAAACAGCTGATTTTGGCTTTTGGGGCCTTGATCAGGAAAATCTCTTAATAAGATCACCCAGCAAACAAAAATCAGGTTTTTTTCTCATGTCTGATGTCAAAAATTTTACAATAAATTCACAATAATTGATTTTGACAAGCAGCTAATATCCAGCTGGTCTCCTTGGATAACTTTATTAATAGGCCTTATCAGGACTTATTTTGAGTTTTTTTATTTCATTTCAATTAAGGGTTTTTTTGTTGACTTTGTTATTAGATAGTTTTCTTTTTAGCATTTTACATCTTCCCATATGCTCGAAATATTTAGTACTTCATTATATTATTTTAGTTATAATTTCTTTTTCACCATCTCTATAGCCTCATGTAAATATTGATATATAAAAAAAATCTGGATAATTTTACCATCTGCAACGAAACCAGGTTTCGATCATTTGCGTATTGTGTGAATAGACAAAACTAAGGGTGTCAGGAGAGATTTTTTTTTTACATTTTGTATTACTTCCTGTCTCTGTCTAATCGTCACATTTGCTTTCCTAGGAAGGTATCATATGAATTAATTAATATACAAACATACATATATATTTTTAAAATACAGAAAATAAAAAAACAATGTAATTAAAAAAAATATATACAACCTTTGCTTATTATTTGTCGGAATTTTGCAGCCCAATATTCTTCAAAAATCTCTGCATTGATAAATTGGTCACATACTAAATTTTATAGGTTAAATGTGAGTATTTTCAAAGTCGATCAAAATCTTCAATAATAAGTCATTTTTGGGGATTGGTATCAAAAGAGAACATATTCTACAGCAAATTTTACTAGAGGTCACCAAGCAAAAGAAATCGGAATTTGTAGTAGATAACCATAAAAGAGTCACAATTAATTTGGGTACATATAATTTTCTAGGTTAATTGCAAGCAATTTTGTAATCGATCCAAATATTCCAGAATATGTCATTTTAGAGGGCAGGTGTCGAAGGAGAAAATATTCTACAGCAAATTTCATTAGAGGTTACCGAGCAAAAGAAATCGTAATTTGTAGTAGATAACCATAAAAAAGTAAAAATCAAAATTGAGAACATATAATTTTTAGGTTATTTGAAAGAATTTTTGAAATCGAACAAAATATTCAAGAATATGTCATTTTAGGGGGCTGATGTCAAAGGAGAACATATTCTACAGCAAATTTCACTAGAGGTCACCGACCAGAAGAAATCCGTAGTTGTAATAGATCATCATAAAAAATTCAAAATCCCAAATTAGGTCCATATACTTTTTTAGATTAAATGGAAGAATTTTACAATTCAATGAAAATTTTTAAGATTATGTCATTTTAGGGGGTTGATGACAAAGGAGAACACATTCCAAAGCAAATTTCACAAGAGGTCGCCGACCAGAAGAAATCGGAGTTTGTAGTAGATAACCATAAAAAGTCACAATCAATTTAGGTACATATAATTTTCTAGGTTAATTGCAAGCTGTTTTGAAATCGATCAAAATATTTATTCTACAGCAAATTTCACAAAGATCACCGAATCCGTATTTATAATAGATCATCATAAATATTCAAAATTAAAATTGGATTCATACACTTTTTTGGTTAATTGGAAGAATTTTCGAAATCTATCAAAATTTTCAAGAAATTGTAATTTTAGAGATTTGGGAGTTACAAATATTGTTTTAAAAAATGTCTTTAGAGCGAATAATATTCTTTAAAAATCCCTGCCTTGAGAGCTGTTAATATTTTTTTTTTACAAATTATAAAGTCAAACGGTAATAACAGATGACTCCACCCGAGTTGTCAAAATCCATTCAATTTAAAATTAATCGTATGAAAACGTAAACAAAAAATATCAAGGTCTGTTAATATTAATAAGGCCACCCAGCTAGCGACGGTCAGCTGTTTTTCTCAAGTCTAATGTCGAAAATTTCGGACTTTGTTAATGTTTTCATAATGGCTGTCAATTCACAATAACGGATTTAGACAGCAAACTTAAGAGTCAGCTGATCTCTCTGTATGGCATATTAATATACCTTAGTGGGGGATTTTCAACCAAAAAGGCTTCTATACAACCTATTTAATGGACCTAGGTTGACACAGCCCATATTTGGAGGTTAATTAAAAGCTTCACAGTTTCCCCACGATGCCTGTCAGTCCATTTGATATACTTTACTTACAATCAATTGGATGTGTTGTCCAGCCATTTAACTTTCTGCACACATAACGATAAACAAAATTATCGATCTACTGATCTCTTCTTTATGTTATCGTGTTTTTGTGCTCCCTAGAATTCAGTAATTTTTTATTTTCATGTTTTTTTCTTTTAGTTTTGTAAAATAATTTTTGTTTGTTGCCTTAAAAACAAAACCAATTGCAAACGTCATGGACAAGTTACGCAAAGTTTTGAGCGGTAATGATAGTACTCCCGAAGAGGAGGGAAGCATAATTACACAGGTAAGAAAACCATTACAAAATGATGAAACATGGAATAAATGTAACCATTTTAGGGGAGTAGACTCGCCAAATATTTCTAATAAGAACAATAGGCTTTGGAATTCATGTATATGGCTTCAGTGGTTTACCTGTTGCTGGGCAAAAGATTCATTATGAAAATGATGACCTGTCTTAAGACCGGTGGTTAAAAATAACTAGTGTGGTTATTACTACTCTCATCATTTGTTCTATTCACACTCAGATATTTTAGTCACAAGCTTGACCATTTGGGATAAAGATTTGCAGTGAAAAATTCTTTAGGAATGTATTTTAGAATATTGCATTTTAATGCGCAACTATGTGGTATATAAGTTAATAAAGATTAAATTGTGTGGCCAAGGGGTGAAAGACCCCATACAATAAATAAATAACAATAGCAAATTTTATGATAAGCCAAATTGAAAAAGAAACCCTGAAACATATGCGGTTCATGTATACCCATTCTAAACTGGGAATAGAAAGAAAACTTCGATTTTTAGAAGCTTAACATACAGATTAAAATAAATAAGCATTGTTGAAGCATTTCCGAATTAGATCAAAATCTTAAGGAATATGTTATTTTAGGGAGCTTGGGTTAAAGGAGAATATATTCTACAGCAAATTTTACTAGAGGTCACCGAACAAAAGAAATCTGTATATATAATAGATATCTATAAAAGTTACAATCATATTGGTCACGTACAATTTTATAGGTTAAATGCAGGTATTCTTGAAATCGATCAGAATCTTCAAGAATAAGTTTTTTTTTTGCAAATGGTGCAAAAAAAGAATATATTCTACATCAAATTTTACTAGAGGTCACCGACCAAAATAAGTTGGTATTTATATGTCCATAAAAAATTCCCAATCAAATTTTGCTACAAATAATGTTTACGTTAATTTAAAAAATTATCAAATTTGATTAAAATATTCAAGAATATCTAATTTAAGGGGCTTGGTGTCAAAGTAGAACATATTCTACAGCAAATTTCACTCGAGGTCACTGAACAAAAGAAATCGGTATTTATAATAGATAAAGTAAAAAATCAAAATTGAGTACATATAATTTTTAGGTTATTTGCAAGTATTTTTGAAATCGAACAAAATCTTCAAGAATATGTCATTTTAGGGGGCTGGTGTCAAAGGAGAATATATTCTACAGCAAATTTCACTAGAGGTCACCGAGCAAAAGAAATCGGAATGTGTAGTAGATCATCATAAAAAATTCACAAATTATTTGGTTACATATAAATTGTCTAGGTTAATTGCAAGCTATTTTGAAATCGTTGTTAGGTTAGGGATGTACGGCTGTTTTAACAGCCGTCCACTCGGAAACTATGTCCATTGTGATCATCCTTTATGTATAGGTATACCTATAAAGAGAAGAAGAAAAAATAGTGGAAGAGTAGAGAGAGAAATAGTGAGAAAGAGGAAGCGAAAGAGACATTATTTTAGCCAAGTCAATTTTTTGACAAAGCCTAGAATTTGGTTAGGGTCTATTTTGGAGAATCAATTTCATATTATCAATTTCATAGCATCCAAACTGTTTATGTCTTCTGCTGATCAGCGATGGACATTTGCAGAGGATATATCTCACATAGACGACAGTAATCCTCTCCACTGGAGTCCCACTTAGAAGTGAGAGATCTAACTTTGCAGTGACCAGTAATGATCCCCACAACGATTTTGATCTCCCTCTTGCTGTGATCCAGCAGCGAAGACGTTCTTTTACAGCAGCGAAGCTATTGGGGGTTTCACAGATCTCTCAATCAGAAGTTAATTGCAAGCTATCGGCTATTTCATTCCCTTCAATATCATTATGTCCTGGAACCCAGGACAATCGAGGTTACTGGACAAAAGAGTTCGGAATTTATAGTAAAAAACTATAAAAAAGTTGAAATCAAAATTGAGTACATATAATTTTTAGGTTATTTGCAAGCATTTTTGAAATCGAATCGAAATCTTCAAGAATGTGTCATTTTAGGGGGCTGGTATCAAAGGAGAATATATTCTACAGCAAATTTCAATAAAGGTCATCGACCAAAAGATATCGGTAAAAGAAATCGGTAGTTGTAATAGATAACCATAAAAAAGTCACAATCCATTTGGGTATATATAATTTTCTAGGTTAATTACAAGCTATTTAGAAATCGATCAAAATCTTGAAGAATATGACATTTTAGGTAGCTGGTGTCAAATGAGAACATATTCTACATTAAATTTCACTGGGGGTCACTGAAGAAAAGAAAGCGGAATTTGGAGTAGATAACCATAAAAAAGTCACAAACAATTTGGGTATATATAATTTTTTAGGTTAATTACAAGCTATTTTGAAATCGATCAAAATCTTGAAAAATATCACATTTTAGATAGCTGGTGTCAAAGGAGAACATATTCTAAAGGGAATTTCACTCGAGGTCACTGAACAAAATAAATCGGAATAACCATAATAGATAACCAAAAAAAAGTCAAAATCAAATTTGGGTACATATAATTTTTTGGGTTAATTGCAAGCATTTTCGAATTCAATAAAAATCTTTAAGAATATTCCGTTTTAGGGTGTTGGGATCAAAGGAGATTATATTCTACAGCAAATTTCACTAGAGGTCACCGACCAGAAGAAATCGGTATTTTTAATAGATCATCATAAAGAAGTCAAAATCAAATTGAGTACATATAATTTTTAGGTTAATTGCAAGAATTTTCGAATTCGATCAACATTTTCAAGAAAATGTAATTTTAGAGAGTTGATATCAAAGAAAACTATATCCTACATCAAATTTCAATAGAGGTCACCGAACAAAAGCAATCGATAATTATGATAGATAACATTAAAAAAGCCACAAAAAATTTGGCCAATAAATTTTTTAGGTTAATTTGAATAATTTTCGAATTAGATCAAAATTTTCAAGAAAATGCCATTGTAGAGGATTGGGGTCAATGGAGAACACATTCTACATCAAATTTCACTAGAGGTCACGGAGCAAAGGAAATCGATAATTTAATAGATATCCATAAAAATCACAATGATATTTGGTTACAATTTTTTTTTATGTTACGTATTTTTAGGTTATTTTCAAGCAGTTTTGAAATCGTTTTTATTTTTATTTTTTTAATTTTTCAGATAAATGACATGTCAACATTAAGCTGGTCCACACGTATCAGAGGTTTCATAATCTGCTTTGTTTTGGGTATTGTATTATCTATACTTGGTTCGGTAATGTTATTCCTGCACTTGGGCATTGTAACATTTGCTGTGTTTTACACCCTGGGTAATATTATATCAATGGCAAGGTATGTTCGTTGAAAATCTAAACCACAACTTAATTAATGTAACATTCTATTCGTATTTGTTTTTTTACAGCACATGCTTTTTAATGGGCCCATTCAAACAAATCAAGAAAATGTTTTCTGATACACGCCTCATTGCCACATGTATTGTGATATTTTCCATAATAATGACCCTAATTGCATCTATTGTGGTATGATTTAGAGTTCCCTTTGTTAATTTTTCTTTTTTTTTTAATTTTTTTTGTTTAATTTTATTTTTTCTAGTTACATAAAGCTGGTTTAACATTGATATTTATTATCATACAATCACTAGCCATGACATGGTATTCATTATCATACATTCCCTATGCTAGAGATGCTGTAAAGAAAACCTTATCCGCTGTTTTGGATGTTTAATAAGTTTGGAACTTTTTTCTTTTAGATTTAGTCTATATATTACTTAACTCTACTCTAATCCATTTTTTTTGTTTATTTCTTTTCTCCCCCGTTTTGTTTTTTATTTATTATTAAATTTTGATCAAACTACTAACACACTCTCCAATATTGTATTATACCTTATATAATAGTATTAATGTGAATAATGCCCGTTATTTATATTTAACGGAAACATGCATATGTCAATTATTTTCAATATTAAGATATTATGTATCACAACTTTTTGTTGTTGTTTATAAGTCAATACAATTTTTGACGAAATAATGGAAATTAGTTCTCTCTTTATTAATAATAACAATTAAATTCGTAACTAATAAGCTTTATAAAAAGTTTTTGTAAAATAAAAAAATATATTTTTCAAATAAACTATATTTTTTATACACACAGCTATAAATTGGGTATTTTTACGTAGCTGGAGTCAAAGGAAAATATACTCTACGGTGAATTTCACTAAGGGTCACCGACCACAAGAAATCTGTAATTGCTATAAACATATATACAAATATCCGTAACAAATTGAGTGCATAACATTTTAGGTTAAAATCAAACTTTTTTTCAAATTGACCAAACTCTCCTAGAATAAGGCATTTCAGGGAGCTGGTGTCAATGGATAATTTATGCTACGGTGAATTTCACTAGAGGTCTCCGACCAAAAGAAATCTGTATCTGACATAAATATCTATAAAAATTGCAGTAACAAATTGGATATAAAAGTTTTAGGTTAAAATCGAACATTTTTTAATTTGTGCAAAATCTCCAAGAATAGAGCATTTTAGTGAGGTGGTGGCAGGGAGAATATATTATACGGTAAATTTCACTAGAGGTCTCCTTACAAATTAAATCGGTATCTTGCATAGACATTTATAAAAAAAAAAAACAGTAACAAAAATTTAGTTTAAATTCGTACATTTTCCAATTTGGCTGATCTCTCAAAGAATATGGCATTTTATGAAGCTGGTGTCAATGGAGAATATAGTCTACGCTAAATTTCACTAGATGTCCCCAACCAAAAGAAATTTGTATCTGACATAGATATCTATAATAACAGCAATAACAAATTGGATATAAAAAATTAGGTTAAATTCGAACAAATTTCCAATTTGGTGGAAATCTCAAAGAATATGGCATTTTAGGGAGCTGGTGTCAATGGAGAATATAATCTACGCTAAATTTCACTAGAGGTCTCCGACGAAATGAAGTTTGTATCTGACATAAATATCTATAAAAATAGCATTAACAAATTGGGTACGTAAAATGTTACGTTAAAATCGAACAAATTTCCAATTTTGCCCAAATCTCAAAGAATACGGCAAATAAGGGAGCTGGTATCAATGGAGAATATATTCTACAGTCAATTTCACTAGAGGTATCTTAACAAATTAAATGGGAATCTTGCATAGACATCTATAAAAATAGCAGTAACAAATTGGATTAAAAAAATAATTTAAATTCGTACATTTTCCAATTTGTCTGAAATCTCAAAGAATACGGCATTTTAGGGAGCTGTTGTAAAGGAGAATATATTCTACGATAAATTTCACTATAGGTCACTGAGCAAAGGAAATATGGAATTGCCATAGATATCTGTAAGAAATTGGATATAAAAAATTTAGGTTAAATTCGAACACATTTCCAATTTGGCCAAAATTTCCAAGAATTCTGCATTTTAGGGTGTTGGTGGCAAAGGAAAATATATTCTACGATAAGTTTCACTAGAGGTCCCCAACCAAAAGAAATCTGTATCTGACATAGATATCTATAAAAATAGCAGTAACAAATTGGGTACAAGCAAATTCACTTTAAAATTGAACTTTTTTCAATTTAGGCCAAAATCTCCTAGAATACGACATTTTAGAGACCCATTGTCAAAGAAATATTTAATTTACGCTAAATTTCACTAGAGGTTTCCTAAGAAAGGAAATCTGTAATTGCCATAGATATCTATAAAAATATCTGTAACAAATTGAATAAAAAAAATTTAGGTTAAATTCGAACAAATTTCCTATTTGTTTAAAATCTCCAAGAATGCGGCATTTGAGGAAGCTGTTGGTAAAGGAGAATATATTCTACGATAAATTTCACTAAAGGTCACCGAGCAAATGAAATTTGTATCTGACATAGACATCTATAAAAATAGCAGCAACAAATGGGATACATAAAATTTTAGGTTAAAATAGAACATTTGTCAATTTGGCCAAATTCTCAAAGAATACGTCATTTTAGAGAGCTGTTGGTAAAGGAGAATATATTCTACGATAAATTTCACTAGAGGTCTCCGACCAAAAGAAATCTGTAATTGCCATAGATATCTCTAAAAATAGCTGTAACAAATTGGCTTTTTATGTTTTTTATTTCTTAAATCAAAAACACATTTATTTTTCAATATTTAATTCCTTTTTCTGGCATTTTATTTATATATAAGAATATTAACAAAATAAAGAGAAAAAAATACATACATAATTTTTTTTTCATTAAAAATATATAGCCAACAGTTCATTCTTTTTTTATTGTTTCTTTGTTCTCTAAGTAGTATAAATTTACTTACAAAAGAAAAGAATTAACTTAGCCTTAACAAAATGGTATAAGTTTGTTTGTTTCTTATAAATATTTTTATTTAAATTTATTTGTTTTTAAAGAGCTTTTGTTTGGTTTTATTTTATTTAGGAGGCCGTTTTAGATGGTTTCATAATATATGAAAACATTTCAAGTTAGATGCCCCCGCCTGACTGCCTAGAATTGTAAAGGCAAATTTTGTATTATTATTACTTAAGTTTAAATGTGAACAGAAACAAAAAAAGAAACGTAATATTAACTAAGTAATTTAAAACGCATAAGAGAACAACATGATTTTCATCATAAGGAGGCAGGAGAAGAAGAGGAGAAAAAAACTTAAGCTAAATAAAAATTATATTTAAGTTATGTGTATATATGTTTGTTGGTTGGTTTTTTTAATTACAACAAATTGCGTTTTTTTTGTTTTGTTTAATATCAAAAGAAATGTGTATATATTTTTTAACGGTAGTTTGATTTTTTTTTGTAATTCGAAGATAGTTAATGGCTTTGCTGATGAAAGTTGATGTTGTATATATAAATATGTTTGGTGGTTGTTTACATTTGTTGTTGTTGTTTATGTATGATTTATTTGATTATTTTATTTTTTGGTTTACAATGTTTGTTTTTTTTTTCTTTCTTAAGAATTAAATGTTAACGTAAAGTTGTTTTTTTTATTTGCCTTCATTTTTATTAAGTTAATCAGTACAAAATAATGGCTAAAAAAATAGACATACATATCTCTATATACGTTAGTTAATAATAAGTTAAACTTATTGCATAACTTGCATTTGCTTTTGTTTTATTCTTTAACTAAAAACAAAATTGCTTGGTAAGGAGAATTTTTTTTTTTTTTTTTTTTTTTTGGAGGGGAGAGGTTTTTGTTTTGAAAATAAAGTCTGTTTTTTATATGTTTGGTTTGTGGGATGGATGGTTTGTTGGTTGGTTGTAAATCATTTATTCAATCTTCTTGTCGTTGCGTTTTTGGGATTTTTTGGGCGATACTTTGCCTAGAAATAAATAAAAAAACACAACAAATATAAAAAATAATAGAAGAAATAAAAAAAACAAATTACATTAAAAATGTATATTTAACCAATGTATTAGACTAATATATAGGGGGTGCTATTTTATAATTGTAAGAAACATTTTTTATTTTTTGGGAATATGGTTGCTGTTTTAAATTTAATATTTTATTTATAATTAAATTTAATATTTTAATTATTAATATCTGTAATTATTTTAATTTTTAGAAATTTATATAAATATTTATTTATTGCTAACAAGGCATTTCAATTTTTTTTCAAATTCGAAAAACTTCACAGAAAAATTTAAGGTTAAATTCGAACATTTCCCAATTTGCCCAAAATCTCAAAGGAAACTGCAATTTTAGGGAATTGATGTCAAAGGAAAATATATTCTATGTCAAATTTCACTAAGGGCTGCCGACCACAAAAAATCTGTAATTGCCATAGATATCTATAAAAATAATAGTAAAAAATTTGGTACATAAAATTTTAGGTTAAATTGGAACATTTTCCAATTTGGCAAATTTTTTCAAGAAAACGACATTTTAGGGAGCGGGTGTCAATGGAGAATATATTCTAAATAAAATTTCACTAGGGGTCACTGACCACAAGAATTCTGTATCTGACATAGATTTCTTTAAAAATATGTGTTTCAAATTTGGTGTCGAATTTTTAGGTAAAATTCGTACATTTCCCAATTTGGCTAGAATCTCCAAGAATACAGCTTTGTAGGGATCAGGTATGAAAAGAAAATATATTCTATGTCAAATTTCACTAGAGGTCTCCGACTAAAAGAAATCTGTATCTGACATAAACATCTACAAAAATATGAGTAACAAATTGGGTACGTAAAATGTTAGGTTAAAACCGAACATTTTCCAATTTGGCAAATTTCTTCAAAAAAACGACATTTTAGGGAGCGGGTGTCAATACATTCTACATAAAATTTGACTAGGGTTCACTGACCACAAGAATTCTGTATCGGACTTAGATATCTAAAAAATATCTATTACAAATTTCGTACAGAAAAATTTAAATTAAATTCGAACATTTTCCAATTTGGCCAAAATTTCCGAGAAAACGACATTTTAGGGAGCGGATGTCAATGGAGAATATATTCTACATCAAATTTCACTAGGGGTCACGGACCACAAGAAATCTGAATCTGACACAGATATCTATAAAAATATCTGTTTCTAATTTGGTGCCCAATTTTTTTGGTTAATTTCGACCATTTGGCAATTTGGTCAAAATCTTCAAGAAAATGCCATATTAGGAAGCTGGTGTCAATGGAAAATATATTCTACATCAAATTTCACTAGGGGTCACTGACCACAAGAAATCTGAATCTGACATAGATATCTACAAAAAAAAATATCACAAATTTCATACAGAAAAATTTAGGTTAAATTCGAACATTTTCCTATTTGGCCAAAATTTCCAAGAATACGACATTTTTTGTAGCTGGTGGCAAAGAAAAATATATTCTACGGTAAATTTCACTAGAGGTCTCCGACTAAAAGAAATCTGTATCTGACATAAACATCTATAAAAATACCAGTAACAAATTGAGTGCATAATTTTTTTTAGGTTAATTTTGAGCATTTTCAAATTTGGCCAAAATTTCAAAGAATACGGCATTTTAGGGAGCTGGTGTCAATGAAGAATATATTCTACATCAAATTTCACTAGAGGTCGCTAAACAAATGTAATCTGTAACTTTAATAGAACAGTCTAAAATAATAGTTGGCAAATTTGGTACATAGAAAATTGAGGTTAATTTGATGTATTTTTGAATTTGCTCAAAATTTCCCATAAAACTTCATTTTAGGGGCTTGGTATCAACGAAGAATATATTCTACATCAAATTTCACTAGAGGTCGCTGAACAAATGGAACCTGTAACATTACTAGAAAAGTCTAAAATAATAGTTGGAAAATTTGGTACATAAGAATGTGAGGTCAATTTGAAGTATTTTTTTATTTGCCCAAAATCTTCCATAAAACTTTATTTCATGGGCTTGGTGTCAATGGAGAATATATTCTACATCAAATTTCATTGGAGGTCATCGACCAAAAGAAATCTGTAGTTATTGGGTATATAGGTTGTTTTGGTAAATTTAAAATGGTAATATTTTTCTCTAAATCTTTTAAACTGTATTAGAGTAGAGGTCAATAAACAAAATGTTAATTTCATTCGGTCAATTTGGTTACGCTCGGCGATTTCAAATTTATTTTTTTTTATAAAAAACCTCTATTTCAATACCTTATTAGCTACATAAAAAAGTAATATAAATATTTTTTATGCCTTTAAATTTCAAAACAGCACCATAAAGTTATCAAATAAAAAATGAAAAAAAAAAACGGCTAAAACAAATCCATTTCTTTTTTGGCTTAAAATATACTAAACTAGACAATTTTTATTTTAATATCATAAGGTGTGCTTTCAATATCAACATGTTTGCTAATGGTCTTATTTAACTTTCCTCGTGCATGTTCTATGATTCTAGGATGTATCATGTAAATGGGACCTGGTCGGTGGTGGTGGTGGAGGGTTTATTTATTTTTTTTTTTGTTTGTTTTTATAGTTTTTTAAAACAAATATGGCAAGGATAGCATGAAAGTACACAGACATAAAAAGAACACAAACACACAGAAAGAAAGAAAATAGAACATGTCACATCATAATGAAGAAGTTTGCATATAAAATGTTTATACAATAAATGTGCTGATTTTTGTTAATTAAATACATTTTAAGGGTTTGTGGTAAAAAAATAAATTTAAATAAAATTAATTCAATTACCAATTTGAGGTGAAATCCAAATTAAAAGTAAATATATTAAAGAAAACTTTAAATTCAGTTATAGAAAAAGAAAAAGTATTGAAGAAATAAAACAATTATTTCAGTTTTTGTTTTTCTCAACACAAAGAAAGGTGGAAAAAACATTTATGTGTTTGCAACAAAGAGGAGGGGTAAACAACAATGGACATACCTTTTGATTCCTTGCTGTCTTGGGATTTAAGTTTTTTAACAGGGGATTGTTGATTTTTGCTGGCCTTACGTTTGTCCATCATGCGCTACAAGTGAAAAAAAAAAAAAACACACGCAACATATTAATGCAAATGTCCACAAATTTAGAAGGGTGGGAAAATGGAAACTAGGATAACATACCTGCCACAATATACAGCCATATACAAATGCTATGGATATTAGAACTTGTACCGTCAGCCAAATAACAATGTTAATGGCTTGCGTGCGTTCAAACAGTTCTTTGCCATTTTTAATGCATAAAATTGCCTCGGATACCATAATGGCACCGTATACCCAACACTGGGTGCCGACACGTTTACAACGTGTATCCGTAACATAGGTATAATATTGTCTGGAAAGGTATACAAATAAAAAAAATATTTAATTACAAGTTTGTAGAAAAAAAAACAAATTAACTCACCTAACAGATGGCGCCACAAACAGGCCCACAAATACCAAACGTCCAATGACAATATAATGGTCTGGTGGCATTTCAAATATGTGCTTTAGGAAGAATGTGTTCAGTTCAGTTACCTATAAAAGAAAATAAAAAGGAAGAAAAAAAAACACATTAGTAAATAGGTTTTAAAAAGGCCGATTTGGCAAATTTTTAGTGAGCGGATGTTAGTGAGCGCGTGTTAATGGAGAATATATTCTGCATTAAATTTCACTAGGGGTCACTGGCCACAAGAATTCTGTATCTGACATAGATTCCTTTAAGAATATCTACTACAAATTTCGTACAGATAAATTTAGGTTTAATTCGAACATTTCCCAATTTGGCCAAAATCTCGAAGCAAACTACATTATAGGGAACTGATGTCAAAGAAAAATATATTCTACATCAAATTTCACTAGTAGTCACTGACCACAAGAATTCTGTATCTGACATAGATATCTAAAATAAATCTGTTTTAAATTGGGTGCATAATTTTTTTAGGTTAATTTTTTTATTTGGCAAAATTTTTTAATTTCGTTAATGGAGAATATACATTTTCCAATTTGGATTTCTTTAAAAATATCTCTTACAAATTTTGTACAGAAAAATTTAGGTTAAATTCGAACATTTTCCAATTTGGCCAAAATTTCCAAGAATACAGCTTTTTAGGGATCAGGTGTCAAAGGAGAATATATTCTGCATCAAATTTCACTAGAGGTCTTCGACTAAAAGAAATCTGCATCTGACATAGATATTTATAAAAATAGCGGTAACAAATTGGTTACATACAATTTTAGGTTAAATTCGAACATTTTCCAATTTGGCCAAAATTTCCAAGAATACGGCATTTTTAGTAGCTGGTGGCAAAGAATAATATATTCTACGGTAAATTTTTCTAGAGGTCCGCGAATAAAAGAAATCTGTATCTGACATATATATCCATAAAAAATATCTCTAACAAATTGGGTACATAAAATTTTAGGTTAAATTCTAACAATTTTCAATTTGGCCAAAAATGCCCTTAAAAACATTTAGGGAATGGCGTATGGGGATGATAGATACCAAGGAACGGCTCTAATTAACTTTAACATGGCGAAGTCCAGGCTTATCTATGTGCCTCTTTCAACTCATGCGATGGAAAGTGACTGGCGTAAGTAAATCTGAAGATTACGTCCTGTATTATAGCTGCCATGAAAAGAGACGTGAATTTGGCTGTGGATTTATGGTTAACAGGAGAATAAAAGACATCGTCTCCAGATTTACTCCAGTAGATGAGGGAAAGTCTATAATCCATATAAAAGCGAAGTTATTCTACATCAGTCTCATTTGCACCCATGCTCTGACCGGATGGTCCGACCAAAGACATATTTTATGACAGTACAAATATTTAAAAAAAATCCCACCTTTATAAAGACCCTAAGCAATATTTTTAAAATTTTACAAATTAGATTGACAACACGCGAAACTTACCTGCCAAAAGATTACCAACTGTATAACAGCTGCAAAACGCATAGCAGTCGATTTAGGATCCAACCATCTAATGGCTGTCCAACTTTCTGGTGTGAATTGTAATACGGCACGCTTAATTTTACCACTAGTCGATGAGATATCCTTAATACTGGCCCATTTGTATTCACGCATTTCCAAAATTTTACAGATTTTCAAACCGACCCATATACCCAAACCGTTGCAAATTAAAACATCCAAAATGAGAGCATCCCACCAGCATTCCACGAAATTCGGTAATAAATGAGCAAAGGTAATTTCGGTGATTTCCCACATTATCGAGATGGCCCACAATATGCCCATGTGACGTATCAGCACCGCCTTGAAAGCCCAGCCCAAGAAATGGCCCCAGGCGAAAACATCCAAATGACCTTTGACACGTTCCAAAGAGACATCGGAACAATTGACACCGTATTCCTAAAAATAAATACATTTTTTTAGTTATAAATAAAATATAATTTGTAAAATTATATATAATTGTTTTACCTTATCCATATTAATGTGGAAATCCCGCAGTTTCGGATCCAACCAATAGAATATATTCATAATAGTCTTGTGATTTTGGAACATTAGAAATTGCAAGGCCATTAGGTAAAGCACTGAACAACCAAAGAGTATACGCCATACTGCCGGATGCGGCCGTGTAAATGGACCATTGGGAAATGTCAATACCGAAATGATTAGGAAAAAGAATACCACGCACAATATGCCAGCCCAAATGTTTTCCTCGAAATTACCTTCGTCCCTGGAAATAAAGAACACAACACAAAACATTTTTTAATATTGAAAATAATCTGAAATTATATAGCCTCCATAATAAGGATACCGATATGAAGTTTCGAAGTTTCCAACCCCTGCACCTAATGATGTTGTAATGTTTGTATGAAACTTCCAATGTTTGCTGGGGGAAAATCTTATTCAGCCGAAAAGTATGCTTTAGATATTAATTGATTTATAAAGAACCAATAAGAACAGGGTGACACACGTTTTTTTATAACAAACCCAAGACTATTGATGGTGTTGTAATTTTTTTATAAATATACGGCTATTGCTAAAGCTATAAAAATATTTTTAAAAAATCCACGCCTATGGCAGATCTTTAAAAATTATTTTTAAAAAATTCAAGGCTTCCAAAACATTTTTTTTGAATGAATCCAGGCCATAGAAATGTTTTTTTTTAATCTATGACTAGAGAAAGTGTCTAAATTCACGCCTATGGCAGATCTCTAAAAAAATATTTTAAGTAAATTCACGCCTCTGTCAGCATTGTAAGGAAAGGACCTATCGGAGCCCTTCAATACCGAACGAGGTTTCAGACAAGGTGACAGTTTGTCGTGCGATCTTTTTAACATCCTGCTGGAAAAGGTCATAAGAGGCGCAAAGGTGAACAGAAATGGTACTCTGTACACCAAACAAAATGTTTTACACCACCGATGATCGATATAATCAACATTACAAAAGTCACTTTTGAAGAAATTGAGGAGTCTGCAAAAATATAATTTTAAAAAATCCACGAGCTCCAAAAAAATTTTTCGGACAAAAATCAGACATTTAAAAAAAAATATTTTTAAAAAACTAGGCCAATGGCGGGTCGCAAAAAATCTTAAAAAAAATCCATGTCACCAAAAAAAAATATTTTTAAAAAATCGAAGTCTCTCAAAAAAATGTTTTTAAAAGATCAACTACAAAAATAGTTTTAAAAAATCCAAGTCTCCAAAAATATAATTTTAAAAAATCCAAGTCTCCAAAAAAATATTTTCAAAAAATCCTAGTCTTCAAAAAATATTTTTAAAAAAACCAAGTCTCCAAAAAAATATTTTTAAAAATCCAAGTCTAAATAAAATATTTTATAAAACTCCAAGTCCCCAAAAAATATTTTTTAGGAATTCCAAGTGTCCAAAAAAATATTTTTAAAAATTCCAAGTCTCCAAAAATATAATTTTAAAGAAATCCAGATTTAAAAAAAAATATTTTTAAAAATTCACATCTCCAAAAAAATATTTTTAAACATCCAAGTCTCCAAAAATATTTTAAAAAACTCAAAGTCTCCAAAAATATAATTTGAATGAAATCCAAGTCTCCAAAAAAATATTTTAAAAAGCTCAAATTCGCCAAAAATATATTTTTATAAATCCAAATCTCCAAAAAAATATTTAAAAAAACTCTAAGTCTCCAAAAAAATATTTTTAAACATCCAAGTCTTCAAAAATATTTAAAAAAACTCAAAGTCTACAAAAATATAATTTGAATGAAATCCAAGTCTCCAAAAAAATATTTTAAAAAGCTCAAAGTCGCCAAAAACATATTTTTATAAAACCAAGTCTCCAAAAATATAATTTTAAAGAAATCCAAGTTTACAAAAATATATTTTTTTAAAACTCCAAGTCTACAAATTTTTTTCAAAACAATTTTTAAAAAACTCCAAGTCTCCATAAAAGTATTTTTTTAAAAATCCAAGTCTCCAAAATAAGATTTTAAAAAAAATCCAAGTCTCCAAAAATTTATTTTTTTAAAATCCAAGTCTTCATAAATATTTTTAAGAAACTCAGTCTCCAAAAAATATTTTAAAAAACTTTAAGTCTCAAAAAAAAGTATATTAAAAAAATCCAAGTCTCCAAAAATATATTTAAAAATTCAGGTTTTCAAAAAAATATTTTTTTTAAATCCAAGTCTACAAAAAAATATTTTTAAAAAATCCAAGTCTCCAAATTTTTTTTAACCAGTGAGCGGAGTATAGTTAGACGGGGGTACAAATGTTTGCGATGTTTGGGCCATAATTGCGATGTTTGGAGCGACCAGAAAACCCGACAAAAATTAAGTATAGACCAAATACCCCTAAATATTAAACAATCTTTTCCAAAAACAATAGGGGTCTTCACTGGGAACCCATTATACATGCAAAATTTCGTGAAGATTGGTCCATAACTGTGGCCTGTATCGTGTTTACAAATTATAATGAACAGACGGACGGACGAACGGACACACATGTCTAGATCGACTCAGCTAGTCGAGATACGACGATCGGTATACTTAAAGTGGGTCTAGGGCAAATATTTCGCAGCGTTACAAACTCTTGGGGCTGCACAAAGCTATAATCCCCTGACAACATAGTTTTTTTTTTAACTCCAAGTCTCCATAAAAATATTTGTAAAAAGCAAGTATTTAATTTTTTTTTAACTGCCAAGTCTTCAAAAAAAATATTAAAAAAAATCCAAGTCTATGACAAAAATATTTGTAAAAAATCCGCGCTTTCCTATCTCCATAAAATATGCAAAATTCATTTTTAAAATCCATGCCTATGACAGGTCCTCAAAAAAAAAAAAAAATAAATAAATAAATAATATTTAAAAAAAAAACCAAGTCTATTGCAAAAATAATTTTGAAATTTATTTTAATCTTCGTTAAACCCCATATAGATTTTGAAATTGAAGTAAATTAAAATAAGAACAAAAGAAAAAAACCACAACAAAAATAAAACCAACAACTACATCAGCTGGGGTAAAATTAAACAGAAAAAAACATAGACTACGTCACAGAAAAAGTATCGCATGATTCCAAGCAAATGGCATGGGAGATTCCAAAGGTCTCACTGTGAGTAGGATGGATCTTGTAGGCGCCATAATGTTCATCTTAAATATGATTAAACCTCACAATAATCAGCTGTAATATCAGGAGATAATAAAGCATGGAACATAGATTGTTGCCACCACACACAACACAACACACGACGACGACGAAAGCAGAGATAATTCTTGTCAAATGGGATTTAATACAAATTTTCGAAATTATGATAAGGTTTTTCTATGACATTTGACCGGACCGGCGAGTAATTTCCTTAAAGGCGGATCTTCAAGTGAAAGGGGTTTTGAAACACAACACATGTTTTTTTTCTGTTTAGAATAGAATTTCAACAACAAAGAAAATAATAATGACAAGAGATAAGATTGTGAAATAACAAAAAAATATACATAAATAAAAAATGAAATTTTGAAACAAATTTCAAATTAATCGAATGACTAGCTCATGGAATAGCTTTGGTAACAGAATGTATTTTTTTTTTGGATGGAGAAAAATAAATTCCATTAAAAAATTATTGTTTTGTAAAAGATGTCATGTAATTTAAATCTTCTTATCAATGCCTGTTCTATTAATTGGAAAAAATCAATTTTTATATAGGACCCCTATCATTTTCAATTAAGAATTTTCAATATTTCAATATACCACACCACCCTCTTTGTATTATTAAACAACATTTATAATTACAATAAAAATAATTAATCTTTTATAAAAACGTGCTTCCGAAAACCAAACACCAAAAATCCCGCATTGCAACAAATATTCATTCAAGTACTTGGGGGTTATTAACCTTATCTCTATTTTGACGATGATGGTAATGATGACGATGATGAAAATAGAAAACGGAACTATGTATGTACATAAACATAAGAAGGGCTGGTTGGATGGTGGAGGTCAAAGTCATACATTTAAATATTAAGGAAGTATATATTTTTTTTTAATAAAATAAAACCAGTAAGGAAATCAGTATAGTCGGACTGGCCCGACTATATGATACCCTTCATCACTATGGGCATAACCTACATATGAATCCTAAGAGACGTCGTCGCCTTTTCGAAGGAACATTGACACGAAATTGAGCCCCATTTACCTTAAATCGGACAAAAAACTATATATTAGAGCTATATCTGAAACTCAACGGATTTTCTCGAAACTTAACACACTTCATTCTGGACCTAATTCAGTACCCGATGCCAATGCGACCTGTACTTTGTTTACAATTTAACATCTACAGACGGATAGACGGACGGACATGATAAATCGATTCATGTATATTCTCAAAAGGAACTATGGGTCTATCCCGTTTCCTTTTGCCTGTTACAAACATATGCACAAAGACATAATACCCTGTACCGCAGTGTGGTGAAGGGTATAAACATGTGAGCCCTCTTCAAGCCTACGGCAGGTCTCCAAAAAAATATTTTAAAAAATCCACGCCTATTTAAGGTCTCCAAAAAAATATTTTAAAAAATCCACGCCTATTTAAGGTCTCCAAAAAAATATTTTAAAAAATCCACGCCTACTTAAGGTCTCCAAAAAAATATTTAAGGTCTCCAAAAAAATATTTAAAAAAATCCACGCCTATTTAAGGTCTCCAAAAAAATATTTAAGGTCTCCAAAAAAATATTTAAAAAATCCACGCCTATTTAAGGTCTCCAAAAAAATATTTAAGGTCTCCAAAAAATATTTTAAAAAATCCACGCCTATTTAAGGTCTCCAAAAAATATTTTAAAAAATCCACGACTATTTAAGGTCTCCAAAAAAATATTTAAAAAAATCCACGCCTACTTAAGGTCTCCAAAAAAATATTTAAGGTCTCCAAAAAAATATTTAAAAAAATACACGCCTACTTAAGGTCTCCAAAAAAATATTTAAGGTCTCCAAAAAAATATTTAAGGTCTCCAAAAAAATATTTAAAAAATCCACGCCTTCTGTAGACCAAAAAAAAAAAATATTTAAAAAATCCACGCCTTCTGTAGATGCCAAAAAAATATTTAAAAAATCCACGCCTATTTAAGGTCTCCAAAAAAATATATAAGGTCTCCAAAAAATATTTTTAAAAATCCACGCCTATATAAGGTCTCCAAAAAATATTTTTAAAAATCCACGCCTATTTAAGGTCTCCAAAAAATATTTTAAAAAATCCACGCCTATTTAAGGTCTCCAAAAATATTTTAAAAAAATCCACGCCTATTTAAGGTCTCCAAAAAATATTTAAGGTTTCAAATGAAAACATTTAAAAAATCCATGCCTATTTAAACATGTTTAAGTTCCCTGAGGAGGCTTTTTTCTATAGAAAAAAATCCTCAGTTCCCTGAGGAGGATTTTTTTCTTTAGAAAATTAAATTGGTAATAATTTAGTACATACTTTGAATTGCAAATCTCCCTCCCTCAAAAATCATCGATATTGGCCCAACTTTTTAAGATAGCCTCCATTGAACGGATAGCGCCATTATAGTGGTCTTTTGGGGAGTTTGGGTTTGGGCACATTTCTTAATCAAATTGCCTATAATTTAGTATTTAAAATTCTCCTTTTTCCTCATTGTCGCTAAGATTCGCTTCCTATAATTCCAAACAAATCTGTTTGTCATAATGTGGTCGTTGCTCATACCGACCGACCATCGTGTATCTACTGTCAATCACCAGATCGATCCACATGGTGTGTTTGAAATAAAATGAAAATTTCTATTCCATAACAACAACAACAGTAGCAACTAGAATTAAACACTTAACGGCGAGACTGAAAAAAATGAGAAAATGTCACCGCGCCCCTCCCCTCTCACACCCATTTCACTTTCACATATCTAAATATATTTTTTAGTACATGTATGGGCTTCCTTGCACATTTGTTGTTAAAGGCAGGCAGTATGGCTGCGACTGGGACTGGCTGATAATCAATACGTAACGTGTGTAACGTGATGATGGCGATGATGAAGGTTGAGTGATTTTTTTTGGAACAAAAAATAAAGCAATTAACGCAGCAATGCGAGTCAATTTTAATTACAACTTATTTTGTTGGTCTAGAGAGAATATAAAATAAAAAATTTAAACAAATTTGAAATATATTTGAAAAAACAAACTTACGCATCCATTTTAGATATTCCTGGAATGTATGCAAAAGCATTGGCCAAAAACTATAAATGCAATTTGTTTTCTATTTTGTGTGTGACGTTCGTTTTGTTGGCTGTTGTTGTTGTTGATTTTGTTTTGTTTCACCTTGTGGTTTTAGAATTTTATTTTCTTAATTTGTGGCATGTTTTAACTTTTAATCATTTTTTGTATTTGTATTATTGTTGTTGTTATTGAAAATAGTAACCATTGTAATCGATTTAGTAACATGTTATTTTCATTTGCTGACTATTCTTAGAGAAAATAAAATTATTTGTGGTTAGAGGGTATTTTTTTCTTCTAATGTGTTAAATTTTTTTGTTTTTGGATATTTTTTTAATTCTAGGAAGTATGATTTGTATAAATTGTATGTTGTATCACACGTTGGAACAGCAAATTGGAAACTAAAAAGAAATGACACAATTTTTTTCTGCCATTAGCCAAAGAAAGGAGGAAGTGTACGCCAAAGAAGAAAAACTACAACATGAATTTTTAGCGACCTTTTCCATATATATTGTGAATAAGGGGAGAGCAAACCAAACCAAACGCAGCACAGAACAGGAGAAATAGGGGTAGGTAACAAACAAAAAGGCATTGGCAAACAATTGAGCGTGGTAGCAAAAGGGAGCAGGACTGAGAAATTTTTTTCTGAAGCTTTTTTCTATAGCAAAAAAAATCTCAGTTCACTGAGGAGGCTTTTTTCTATACCAAAAATCCTTCAGTTCTCTGAGGATGTTTTTTTTTCTATAGAAGAGACCTTAATAGGCGTGGATTTTTTAAAATATTTTTGGAGACCTTAAATAGGCGTGAATTTTTTTAAATATTTTCTGGGTGTCCTTAAATATTTTTTTGGAGACCTTAAATAGGGGTGGATTTTTTAAAATATTTTTTTTGTAGACCTTAAATATTTTTTTGGAGACCTTAAATAGGCGTGGATTTTTTAAAATATTTTTATGGAGACCTTAAATAGGCGTGGATTTTCTAAAATGTTTTTTTGGAAACCTTAATTTTTTTTTTTTTTGAGACCTTAAATAGTCCTGGATTTTTTAAAATGTTTTTTTGGAAACCTTAAATTTTTTTGAGACCTTGAATAGTCATGGATTTTTTAAAATATTTTTATGGAGACCTTAAATAGGCGTGGATTTTTTAGAATATTTTTTGGAGACATTAAATATTTTTTGTAGACCTTAAATAGGCGTGGATTTTATAGAATATTTTTTTGAGACATTAAATATTTTTTGTAGACCTTAAATAGGCGTGGATTTTTTAGAATATTTTTTGGAGACATTAAATATTTTTTGGAGACCTTAAATAGGCGTGGATTTTTTAGAATATTTTTTGGAGACATTAAATATTTTTTGGAGACCTTAAATAGGCGTGGATTTTCTAATATTTTTTTTTGGGACCTTAAACCAAACCAAACGCAGAACAGAACAGCAGCAATGGACAGGAGAAATATGGGTAGATAATAAACAAAAAGGGATTGGCGAACAATTGAGCGTGGTAGCAAAAGGGGGCGGGTAACTGAGAATTTTTTTCTGAAGTTTTTTTTTCTCTATATAATCCTTTTTTTATACAAACAATTCCTAAGTTCTCTTAGGAGACTTTTTTCTATAGAAAAAAAAATTCCTCAGTTCCTCAGGCTTTTTTCTATAGAAAAAAATCTCAGTTCTCTGAGAAGGTTTTTTATAGAAAAAAAAAAATTCTCAGTTCTCTGAGAAGGTTTTTTTATAGAAAAAAAAATTCTCAGTTCTCTGAGAAGGTTTTTTTATAGAAAAAAAAATTCTCAGTTCTCTGAGAAGGTTTTTTTATAGAAAAAAAAATTCTCAGTTCTCTGAGGTTTTTTTATAGAAAAAAATCCTCAGTTCTCTGAGGACGCCTTTTTCAGTAGCAAAAAAATCATCAGTTCTCTGAGGAGGCTTTTTTCTAAAAAAAACCCTCAGTTATCTGAAAAGACTTCTTTATATAAAAAAAAAGTTTTTCGTTTCTCTAAGAAGACCTTTCTCTATAAAAAAAATCCTGAGTTCTCTGAGGAGTATAATTTTCTCTATAGCAAAAATTCCGCAGTTCTGTGGATGGATTTTCTCTAGGAATACCTCGATGTAAAAATTTCAGCATCCTATACATTTTTTTTCCTGATCCAGAATATTTTAAATTTATATCCTTTAGAGAAAATGTGGACCGAAATTGTTTCACCTGAACCTAAAAAAAATATGTAAATTAAATATTTCTAAAAATATTGAAAATATTACACCGCATCAAAAATTCAAATTTTAAAGTTATCCTTCGAAATTCATAATTGGAAAACCTAAGAACCGATAGGCGTATCCTTTAATAATTCTCAAAACTTCAGAGATGCACCTTGAAATTATTTCCAAATTCATTTGCAATTTAAAAAAAATACTAAAAAAAAGCTTAAAAATTAATTAATAAAATAATTTTATAAATATTGAAATTGATTTAAATATTTTAAAAACCTCTAACCAAAGAATTCTAATTTAAAAATGCGATTCTGCAACCTGTACGAATTTCGTTAATTTTCAAAATACCCCCTATTGAGAATATCCTTATCCCTCTCTTTGGAAACACACGCCACTGACTAGGAAATATTTTTGTTTGCAGTTTTAGCATTTGCGCATTGTTCCGCTTCATTTTGGAATCACAACATGATGATATGGATACGTTGAAGTGTCACATGCAATAAATGCGGGTAGGTTGGGGGTGTTCTAAACAAAAAACGGAAACTATGCGAAATCTTGTTTTGTTACAATATTTGTTTTGATTATTAAAATTCCAAATTATTCCCCAAAGGTTCTGTCCTCACAAAACAAATTCCAAGTGACTCACAAGAGTTACCCTTTGTGTTATTGTTTGAAAATCTATCCTAAAACGCAATACATCTATAAATTTTATAACTTAATTAAATTAAAATTAAAAAAATTAAAACATCAAAATCATTTCCACTTACCTGACAAAGGCAAAATACATAACAGCCAATACGGATACAGCCAAGAGGGTAATTGTGTGCGGTTTATAAAAGAAATCCAGGGATATATCATCGACAGGTCTTTCATTGACCACCAAAAACGTTTCGGCAATTTCTTCCGGCTTTGGTTTAACATTGTTCGTGGAGGTAGTTGCAGCAGCACGTGCTTTTGTTGGAGTTGTTGGAGCACTGGATGCTCCAGATTTGACAGTTGTGGATGATTGATTCATATTGTTCGATTCCATGGTGGTGGTGTTGGCGGCAGTATCCGGACTACCACGTGAACTTGAACGTTTTTTCATATTACCCGTATTTTTTTAATTAAATATAAAATTCTATTTGCATTTATATTCTTTCATATAAGAAAATAAACGCACAACAATACGCAAGGGGGAGGAGAGTTGCGCAACAACCACCTTCAAATGCAATTTTAATTTACTTTGACAGTAAGTGAACGAACAGCAGGAATCCGTCAGTCAGCCACACAAAAAGAGAGCGGGTTTTATTTTGTTCTTCAACAAAGTCAATCCAGCACGTTCACGTTTGAATTGTTCTTAAGGAGCAAGTAGTTGGGTGGGGGGCCAAAACGCGCAACACTTGTTGTAACTCTCAACAAATTCAATCCTTTAATTCATAATTTCACTTTATTTTCGGTGATACTGCTACTGAAAGAATCTAAACCGACAGAACACGTCTTTTTTGCGAGAAATGCCGGAAAATAATGAAGATGATGATCAGATGAGCGGTGGTATCGCCTCACAATGTTCAATAGTTCAATTGATCTATTCACTTATATGAAATGTGTGAACTTTGTCATCCATCATACGTTTAAGGTTTCTGAAAATCGATGACATACCATGATATAAACAATTAAATAAATAAAAATTTATAAACATTATCCAGTATTATTATTATTTAACCAGTAGTATATTATTTTAATTTGTCTCAATTCTTTTCAACTAATATATAATTGAAATTGAAATGTAATTGTGTTATTTTATGGGTTTCATTAAATAGGTTTCTATAGATCGATAAATGGAAGTAATAATAAAACGGCAACTTAAAGTTATTTAGTCCTCTTCCTAATACTTTGCGTTTGAATACGGCATATCTGAGAACATGGTACAATTATAAAAGGTAACAGCAAATCCCAGCTGATTTGATTCCAACGTAATACTAGTGTCAATATGAATTTGACAAATTATGTTTTTAAAAATCACCCAACAGGAAAATTAGGAACGCATACAATTTGAAAATGTTCTTTATTAAATGTGCTCTTGTATTCAATTTACTCAATCTGCCTGCTGGGCAAGTTTAAGGAAGCAAATCTTTCTTCAAGGAATAACTCGCTATTCCCAGCATTTTCATATGTGTTACACATATATATGGCAATGGCTCAATTATAGGAATGATGTGGAAGCGATAGAAATATAAATTTGATACATTTTCATTCATGTTTTTCAATTTTTATTTTGAGGATTCGAAAATATTTCATTTTCAAAATAAAAATAATTTGATGATAATTTGTTTGTTTGTTTACATTTTTCTGTCAAATGAGTTGACACTAGTAGAACTTACAACAACAAATTTCCATGTGGTTGTTGTATCGTTTTTTGTACAACAACACTTGCTGTTACCTTCTATTATTATACCATGATCTGAGAACCAAAACTATAACACAACCTTTGGCTGAGTAGAGGTTTCGGTTTCGGATGAGCAACAACTTGAAGCATGGCAAACTGCTACAGACTACTGCCAAGGGCGTAAAGGAAGAGCTGAAAAATGCCTGCCGTTTCGAAGCAGAGACCAGAACCGAAACATCCTGCGAGTCGCATTAATTCGCCGGGATGATCACGATGTCTCCAAAATTACAGCTCAAAGGTTGCTAGGTGAACGCAAAGCAGGAAGTTCTTGTTACAAAAGTGACGAATTCTACTACGGCTGTAACTCTGGGAACCAAACCTTTAACACGACCATGGGCTGTGAATTGGATGCGGTCTTCGCTTTTTGAGTAGTCCATGTAATAAAGTTTTTGGAATCGCTCATGGCCCTTTGGGCTAGGTTCTCGTTTATGAAATAAATTGAATTGAAACCTTCCTCGAGAAGACCCAGACAGTCGCTTGAAGCATGGCAAACTTCTTGGGAACACTGCCAAGGGCGGTAATGAAGAGCCGAAAAAACCAAACCTTCCGTTTAGAAGTAGAGACCAGAACCGAAACATAGTGATACTGCTGAACAATCACAAGCCACTGAAGACCTTCGAGATGCATTCATTCACCAAGATGATTACGATGGCTCCATTATAAAAGCACATAGGCTGCTAGGCAAACGCGAAGCAGGAAGATCTTGCGACAAAAGTGCCGACTTCTACGACGACTGAATCTCTGGGAACCAAACCTTTACCACTACCATTGGCTCAGAAGAGGTTGCGGTCTTCGGATGAGCAACAATCTGCCTCGATGAGATCCAGACATTCGCTTGAAGGAAGTGCCGAAAAAACAACCATTGGCTGTGAAAGGATGCGGTCTTCGTATGAGTTGCAAACAGCCTCGAGAGGACCCAGACAGTCGCATGAAGCACGACAAACTGCTTCAGACTACTGCCAGGGACTGTAAGGAAGAGCCAAAAAACCAAACCTTTCGTTTAAGGGCCACTGAAGACAAGCGAGTAGCATTCATTCGCCGCGATGATCACGATATCTCCATTATAACAGGTCATAGGTGGCTAGTCGATAGGAACCTAATCCAATGAAGTTGATAGTCAGAACTTTCGGTTTGTCTATATCATTCGGTTTGTCGATAGGTACCCGAAGGACCACTTTCAGATCCAAGGAATATGATCGTCGGACAATTCGGTTTGTCCAATTCACTTTTTACGACTTCGTTGCACTTTTTTTACGAATACAATAAAATTGACCTCCATTGACAAGGTAGTAAGCTGGCGGTTATTTCGGTATGGTTTCCACCTCCTCTTAATGGACAAAAAATGAAACTGATATTAAAGTATTGAAAAACTCAGGAAATTAACGGTAAATAAGCTGGTAGATAAGCTTCCACAAGGTCACGTTATCGAAAGTTCACTGTTGATCTGTTTCCATACTGAAAGAATTTACTAATCTTGTAGTACGGGAACAGAGAATGTATGTCTTTTCCAGAACCCAGAACTACAAGAATCTACTACTTTTTACTACCAGTAACGAATTTTCCTACATGACAAAGAAAAAATAGCAAAATGTAGTAGATTCGTGCAACACCGGAAAAAATTAATTCTAATACGAAAACAAATTTTTCCTTTTTGATATCGATAAAATAATACAAATTGGTACATTCTTACAGTACATGATCGTGCCATATATGGCGTTCTTAATTTTGTGGAGGCCCTGCCAATTTATTTGTATTGAGGCCATACTACAAGCTCATCATCCCGCCATCATGGATATTGGAAATCTTAAAAAAAAAATCTGTCATTCGAAACGTATAATGTGTACTCATCTTTACGCTCCACATTGATATCAATTGCAAAGTCAAAAGTCGATCTACACATCCCTATTGTGGAGAATGTGTCTTTTCCAGAACCCAAAACTACAAGAATCTACTACTTTTTACTACCAGTAACGAATTTTCCTACATGACATCGAAAAAGTAGCAAAATGTAGTAGATTCGTGCAGCACCGGAAAAATTTAATTCTAATACGAAAACAATTTTTTCCTTTTTGATATCGATAAAATAATACAAATTGGTACATTCTTACAGTACATGATCGTGCCATATATGGCGTTCTTAATTTTGTGGAGGCCCTGCCAATTTATTTGTATTGAGGCCATACTACAAGCTCATCATCCCGCCATCATGGATATTGGAAATCTTAAAAAAAAAAATCTGTCATTCGAAACGTATAATGTGTACTCATCTTTACGCTCCACATTGATATCAATTGCAAAGTCAAAAGTCGATCTACACATCCCTATTGTGGAGAAAAACATAACTATACGTGTTCTTTCATTCCATAGTTATTTTGTATTGTTATCACTTGATTTGCCATGTCTCCTTCTAAACAAATATAGTACACATTACACCATAGGTGCCCATCAGTATACTTTAAAGTAGCTGCCTACTCACACGCATTGTTATGCTCTTTCAGTCAGTCGTTGTTTGACAGGCAACGAATGAACACATGCTGGGGTGCGCGCACGACGTCGTGTCCGCAGAACTAGAAAATCAACGAAATAACACTTAGGGATAAAAGTGTTTCAGTATATTTGGATTTTTATTTTATTATTCAAAATGCGTTTTGTATGTTTAAAAATTTTTAAAAACAACAGAACAATTATTTGATAATTATCGTAGTATTTAATATTAATATTTAATATTACAATATGATTATCTCGGTATATTCTACTTTATAATCTTTATTAGATTTTTGTGACATATACAGTTTGTAATTCATATAAAAATATTTTTAATAATGATTTTAATTTATATAATAACCAAAATTAAATTCTTCAATAATTTTTCCGACCACCAAAATGTACACACAATTTTGTTCGGTACTGTTCTGTTTTCTCTCACACATACTAACGCATTTTAATTTTGGGCACCTATGCATTACACTCATTCGTAAACAGAGATTTTATTTTGTGCTGCTTCTTTTTTAACGCCCGTTCTCTTTTGTCTCCTTTGATTCGTATCATTCATTCGGAAATAGTTCCGTTTGGCTCATTTCAGAGAATTATTCATTTAAATTGAACTCGTTTGGGTACAGGCAGAAGACGCAGGCAAAAGACACAGTAAAGAATACTGGCACAGGCAATGGAAACCCCAAGCAATAACAAAGGTAATGTGGTGGACATGGGGGAGGTGGATACCAGAATAGATCCATTAAAGTAATTGTTGTTGTTTTTGTTTTACAGAATTTGAGGTAACGGGCGTCTCAAGAAGTGGACGCATACGCAAGAAGTCATCCAAACTATTGGATTTCCAATCGCCTGACGAAAGTATACAAAGGAAAATGTATAAACGATCGAGTGGGTCGTCGAGTTCACGATCTGCTGCCCGAAATGGTGGTGGCAGAGGACGTCCCAGTTTGGCCACCCTAAAGGCACGCAAACAACCACGAACGTCAGGAGGACAACAAGCAGTTGCTGGTGATCCCGATGATGTGGCTGAGGATGATGATGATATGGACAATGAAAATGAGTTGGATGACAAAATGGACAGCACCCAGCCAATGCATAGCGATGATGATGATAATATCGGCGACGACGATGACGTAGTTGATGATGATTTAGATGATGATGAGCATTTGGATGATGTATTGGCCAACAATGCCACAGAGTCGGATGATGATGGCTTTGGTGAATTGGTGGCCGATCTGGTGGGCACTGAGGGTGGTGGTGCTGCGGCAATGGAACGGGGTGCACAAAAATCCGATTCAAATGTTCGAAAATCATTGTATATGAGTGAAAAACGTTCCGGAAAAGATGGAGGACGTTTGGAACGTAAAGATAAGGGCAAGTCCCGTTACACAGCGTATAGTTTGTGGGCTCGTGAATATCGTAAAACTGCAAATTTCGGTAAGGAGGTAGATTTCACCACAGCCCGTAGAGAATTGTGGGCCAACGTATCCAATAAGGAGAAAAATAATTGGCGTCGCAAGGCAAAAATACAGGCCACCAAAGCCAAGGCAATGGAAAGGTCAGGTGGTGCGGCAAGAGATAAAGCAAAACTGGAGTCATCACCCACAGCCAGTGGGGCGAATTCAACATTTATAAATCGTCCCACCACAAGTCGTACCAAAAAACTACAGCTGCAAGCAGAGGAGAAACAAAAAGCCAAAGAAAGTATGGAAACAAAGGTGTCCAACCAGACGCCCACCTCTCGGCGAACACGTAATAACTCGTATAATAGAAAATCGACGACAGCAGCAGCCGCCGCCGCCGGAGGATCTTCAAATAAAAATTCAAATACTGTGGCATTATATGCCAATGGTTCTAGCTCTAATTATGATCTGATGGCAGGATCATCATCGTTATATAATTCCAATTCAACTCCACTTCCCACCATAGAACCCATTGATGCAGCTGCCCATCTCAAACTGTTGGGTGAAAGTCTGACAATTATTGGTGAACGTCTGAAAGATCATGAAGGGCAAATTGCTGTCTCGGGTAGTTTGTCAGTACTGCTGGACAGTTTGCTATGTTCACTGGGTCCCCTGCTGTGCCTTACCACATGTCTGCCCGGTTTGGAGAAGAAAACTAAATTGAAAACTAATTTAGCCGTGACCCTGGATAATATTGCCTATGTTATGCCGGGGCTTTAGTGAGGATGATTTATATATATCTTTTTGTTTAAGGATGCTATAATAGTTTAAGAGTGCAATTAAAAAAAAAAGAGTATTGAAATGATATACATATAGAGTATATAGATTATATATAACAAATAAAGTATCCCATGGATTTTTAAACCCAGCTTCTTTACGAGTTTTTTAAAAGGGTTTTCAGGATAAGTGTTTTTTTTTTTAATAAATTGTGATTTCAAAGGTTAAAACAAATGGAAATTAGTGGATTGAAAAAAATATTTTTTTTTCAAAATTTCCCCAAAATTAAAGTTTAAAAAAAGAGAAATAGTGGATTTGAAAAAATATTTTTTTTTTCACTTTCAAAAATATCTAACTTTTAATGAAAAGTTAAAAAAAAAAAGATCTTAGAAATTAGTGAAATGAAAAAAATATATTTTTAACAATTTTAAAAAATTAAGAAAAATTTAATTCGCAATGTTTTTTTTCACTTTCAAAAATATCTAATTTTTAATCAAAGGTGCTTGAATAAAAAAACTTAAAAAATATTTTATCTAAAATTGTTTGAAAAAATAACAGGAATTGTGATTTTTTTTTGAAAAAAATTAATTTTTTTAAATTGTTTTTATTTAATTTCTGAATTTTTGCTAAAATTGTTATTAATTTTTTTTTTCAATTTATTAATTACTCTAAATTTTTTTTTTTGAAATTTTTGTTTTTTAAAAATTAATATAAACAATTTTCTAAAAATAAAAATTCTTTATTTATTTAACGATTACATTTCGTTTAAAATATTTTTATTGAATTTTGGGAAATTATATTTTGTTTTGAAAAAATAACAGGAATTGTGGATTTTTTTTGCAAAAAAATTTAATTTTTTGTTAAAAATTATTTTTATTTTTGAATTTTGATAAAATTTTTATTAATTTTTTTAAGTACTTTAAATCATTTTTTTAATTTTTTTTATTGAGTAAATCTTGATAAAAAATAGTTTTTATTTTGAAAATTTTTCAGAAAACAGAAATTGTAGATTTTTTTTAAATGAGTAAATATTCTTAAAAATTATTTTTTTATTTTATTATTTTTGGATTTTTTTAAACTTTTTTATTTTTATTTCTGATTTTTTTTCAATTTTTTTAATTACTCTAAAATATTTCTTATAGATTTTTTTGGTTTTTAAAAATTGAAACAAATTTGTTTGTTGTTGTATTTTTTAACTATATTTATTAATATATACTTTTATATATAATTATGATTAATTATGGCAATTTTTTTATCAAGGCATAAACAAATTACTTAATATTATTTAGAGAGACATACAAATTAAAAAAAAAAATTAAACACATGGGGAATGTTTGAGATTATAAGGTAAAAACAATATCCAATACCTTTTTTCGTTTTTGTCTTAAATTTAAATATTGAGTGATAAATTTTCAACACCTAGCTACACACAAGAAAAAAATTAAACTTAAAATTAAAAAAAAAAACAAAATTTTGCTATGAACACAAAATTACAAAAAAATTAGGAATTCTTCGTTGCCCATAGATATACAGAGGTTGTGGTAATGGGTTCTTTTTAAGGAATGGGAAATATTGCCGTCATGTTTATGCAAAAAAAAAGGGAACTAAACAAAAAATCTAGTCCGAGAGAGAATGTCTTCTATTCTGCGCTAAACAGTCTCATTAAGTAAAACATGGCATTTCAAAAGAGAGTAGTGCTCTCCCCTACAATTGTTGTGATAACCCGGCCGCCGATATGTTATCCCCAGCCCCAGCTGTCTTTTTGGCCACCCGACAAACCAACACCGGTGCCACACAAATTTCAATTTCAACATCCCTTGGTGCCGTTGAGGTTTCTATGCGTAATGTTTCCGACCAGCAGGGTACAGCATTTTGGGGATCTAAAAGAATACGTTGCGATTTCTCAGCATCCAAAGATGTGGAGAAGCTATCATCTAATATTAGGGTGGCGGATTCGGGGTTGATCTGCAAGATTTTTAATTGAAATTAAAATGAAAAAAATTTAAATTGAAAATTTTCAATTTACCATTTGCGTTTGACACACATAACGATGGGCCACAAGCGAAGCCTTGGCCGCCCCAATTTGTGTATTTTTCCAAGCACTATTCTTCACCGTGAGCATGGCCTGAAAAGCCAGGGTGTGCAAGTGGATACGTGTTACCATACGTCGTTTCGTCTTTATGACACTTGAGGCATTTTGATAGTAGTCCTTAGCCAATATACTAAACACCGTACGCATATGATCTAAGGTGGCTCCGACACGAGGATTACTATCCGTGGCAAAACTTGTCTTCCCAAATTCCATTACCTGGACCAAATTTTCCAGCTCTTGTTCATTCATACCCAACGAATCGACATAGGGTAAAATGTATTTTCTCAATTGCTGTAGTAATTCTATTTCCACATATGAGGCCATTTCAAAGTGTATCTGGGTACGTGGTGTCAGTTCATTGATTTGTTTATTAACCTTTAGCAAACGTTCCTCCCGTATGCCCACCTCAAATTTATAACTATCCATCATTTGTATGCCACTGATGACAAACAAATCCGGTTGATAGTCTTTCACCGTTTTCTGCAGTTGTTCCAGGGAATTTAAATGCGGATTATTTTGATCGTTGTGCAGGATATAACGATTGGCACGTGGAGCTGTAAAGGGGCCCCATTGTTCACCAGCCTTATATTCCAATATCAAATGGATATCATCCTCCTCCACTTGGTCACCGGCAATTTTGATATTATTAGGTATTAGACGGCGAAGTCTAAACAAGAGGAAATAATAAAAAACAAACAAATTAATTAAAAGTATTCTAAATATTAAATACATTTCCACCTACTTGTGTGACATGCGTGCCCCCAACAACACATTCCAGCCTTCCTTATCAAAGCGTATACCCATTAAGGGGGCATTGCCCCCAATAAACCATTGTATGCGATCACGATGCTGTTTCTTGGCAATTTGTATCAGTTTCCTAAACAAATAGGGGTTTGGCATACTTCTTCTAAAACAAAAACAACGACAACAAAAATCAATCAATACCAATAAAAAAAGTTTACAACCTCCCTCCCCCTACTCACTCTGCCGCTGCTCCATTCTGAAAATAATAACCAAATGTCTGCAACAATTCCGCCTCATCATTGATTTCATCAACGGTAAACTCTGGCCCCAGCACATCGGGTACAATAGCACTGGAATAGTTAAGAAATTCCGTACCACTAATTACCAAATCACTGCAAGCACCATAACCCAATGCCACCTTGGGTTTCGGTTCCCAAGGTCGTTTCAGTTGACTTTCAATGGCCAGCAAACTGGTTAAAATCTGTGTCACCTTATTCAATTGTTTCAACGATAGGAATGCCTGCCACACAATCGATATTAAGGCTGCAAATACCGAACAGGTTGTTATCAGGGACATATATTTGAGCAACGTCATGGTTCTTCGAGTGATCCTCTACGACATATAGGTGATATTTATCGGGGTTTTCTTGTTATTAAACCAAAATATCGAGAAAACAAATTTAAAAACAAGAACTTGGAAATAAATCGACTGAAGTAATGAAAAAACGGAGCTGTTACGTTGATAGCGTTTGACGGCGTTTGTCACTTTGCCGGTATATGCCACCGTGGGCAAGGGATGTATAGATCGATAAGTGACGTTTTCTAGTAAATCGATAATCATAGCAAATAAAACAGTTATCGTTAATGAGAAGGAAGAAAATTGCTCTTGAAATCATAAAATAAATACCGCTATTCCGCATAATTAGTGAGAGTGGGAGAGAAAGAGAGAGAGAGGAGGTCAATCTGTGACAGCCTTTGTGAGTAACGCCGTTGCATTAAATACGTTTGCCACTATGCCGGTATATGCCACAGTGGGCAAGGGATCCATAGACCGATAATGGCGTTTTCTAGTAAATCAATAAATTCCTATTGTAAACCAGTTATCGTTTATGACAGTTAAGATAAGTTATATTGAAATACTGAAATAAAGGGGGAGAGAGAGAATAAATAATAAATAATTTTAAAATAATAAATCATTTTAAAGGACACCTTTATTCATTTTAATCGATGAATTGAGAAAATTAAATACAAAGTTATCAAAGATTAATTATAAAGATTAAAAATAAACTATTATAAAAAAAATCGATAACTTGGTGTGAACGAAAAAATATATGGTATGTTCCCGTACTGGTTCTCAAGTTTGCTGCCAAAATCCATTATTGTGAATTGACTTCCACTATGAAAACGTAAACAACTTAAAATTATTGACATTAAACTTGAGAAAAACAGCTGACTTTCACCTGTAGGGTGAACTTATTAATAGATCTTGGAAAGATTTTATTGGACTCTTCAAATTATTTCAAAAATATTAAAAGAAAACAAGTTTTTTTGAGCTTCCAAAAATATTTTAAAATTTTTGTTTTATTGATCTCCTAAATATTTAAAAAAAATCGCCTTTATTGTGCCCTAAACATTAAAAATTAAATTATATTGCGTCCCTTACTTTTTTACAATCCCCATATGGTCCGCTCTCAAAAATCTATAGAAACATCACATATATTGGGTTCCTAAAATTATTTAAAAATCGCCATTTATCAATATTTATTATTTTTTAATATGTAAAAATCGTGCATTATTAAGAAACTATTATTTTTTATAGCTTCATTTGAGTTTTTAATGTCATTTTTTTAATGCTGTGTATATATATATTAAAAATCCCTTTTATGTTTTAAAAATAATTTTCTTTATTATCATTTAATTATTTAAAATTTCCCCATATATTGGTATTTTATTTAATTTTTAATTTTTTTTATAACTATAATTATTTTTTAAATATGTTATTTATTTTTTAATTATTTAAACCTTACCATTTATTTATTATAAAATTATTTTCTTTATTTTTTTGAATTACTAATTTTTAAAATAAAGGAAAAAATGTTATCGTAGTAAAAAATTTATTGTCTTTTTTTATTTTTTATTTAACTTGTGTTATTTTTAAAACCTCAAAAAATCCCTCACTGTCATGCTTTTAAAAATATTTTATTTATTTTTTAATTATTTAAATATCCCAATTTATTTATTATATTTTTAGTACTATTAAAATATATAAAAAATCCCTCTTTATTAGTTTTTCGTCGCGTTTTAATCATTTTAATTTGTATTTCTCCCATTTGTCGTCCAGAGACCGTTAATGTCGTTTGTTTGCTTTATTTCTCATCACACTCTCTCTCATTTGCCAGAGCATGCATGCACAAAATATCCCCCAGAGTATGCGTGAGAGTTAACAGATGTTTGTCACAAAGCTCCAACAACCAAACAATAACACACACACTAACATACAAAACAAAAATCACATGTTCGCATCGTATGGAATTTGGCGCTTCTTATTTTATTTATTTTTTAAATTATTTAAATATCCCAATTTATCTATTATATTTTTATTACTTTTCAAATATGTAAAAATCCATCTTTATTAGGCCTTTAAAATAATTTTATTTCAATTTTTCCGTTGAGTTTTAATCATTTTAATTTAGTTGCTCTCCTTTGCCTTCAGATGCCGGTAATATCGTTTGTTTGCTTTATATCTCATCATTCTCTATCTCTCTCTATCATTTTCCAGAGCATGCATGCACAAAAAATCCCCCAGAGTCTGCGTGAGAGTTAACAGATGTGTGTCACAAAGCTCCAACAACCAAACAATAACACACAAACACACATATCAACACACAAAACAAAAATCACATGTTCGCATCATATGGAATTTGGCGCTTCTTGCACACAAAACGCACTCATACACACACACACTCTAATACACCGTATAACGTATACGACACATGGCACGATAACGGCATAGAAATTGTCGTAGAGCATTGTTACAACAGCAGCAACAACAAGAACAACAATAACAACATGAAAGGATGTTGTAGTTGTTGTTTTTGCTTGCTTTTGTTTTGTTATTGGAAAAAAATACACTGCACAACGGTGGTTGTTTGAATGCTGACGCCGTAGCCGTCGCTGCCGTTGGTTTGTTGTTTGAATGCTGCCGCCGCCGCAGCTGTGACTGCTGCTGCCGCTGGCTTTCTTGTTTACTGTTTGACAAATGGCAATCTATGTTTTGTTTCAGTTCTTGAACACAGCGCCACGGAGACGGTTGTGTTGTGTTCTTACGGTAATTTTTCCTTGTGGGGGTCGAACGCTAAACGTATGAGTGATATTTTTAAATTAAAAAAGAAATATAAATTGAAATAATAATTATTAAACAAAAATAAGATCTAAAGAAAAGTGTGAGAGAGTAAAGAAATAGAAAAAGTGAAATAAATGTGAGCAAGTGAGAAAAAATTTAAATAAAATAAAAAATACATAAAAATGAAAAAAAAAATAAAAAAATTGAAAACAATTATGAGGCCATTTTAAAATATTTTTTGTTTGAAAAAAGAAACATTTTGTTGTTTAATATGTATATAATTTTCTTTTATTTATTTTTTGCCAAAAAAATTTTTTTTTCTTTCTCCATACCGGCTATTTTTTCATGTTTGATTTTGTTGCCGTGTGCTGTCACTCAATTAGTTTGTTGTTGTTTATTCAAGCGTGATTGATCCAAATAGTGTTTTTTTTCTTTTTTTGTGTGTGTTTACATAAATTTCCAACATTTTGTTTACTTGCTGACCCCCAAAGACCCCCAACCAAGCCTCCCTCCACCCACCTCTCTCACGCACTTTCACAACAAAAAGTGTCTTAGCAATTCCTTCCTTGTTATTTTTGTGATTTATTTTCAATTTTGTTTCGATTTTTTTTCTTTCAAAATGGAATTATGTTAAAGCCCAAAGAAAACCTAGAAAAATAATACAAAAAAAAAAACAATAAATAAATAAAAAAGTAAAAATGAAACTGGGCCACACGAAATAGCCAAAAAGGGAATAATCCATTAAAAAAGTGTCCCTTCATAAGAATAACCCAAATTTTTTATATTGTCAAAAAAATTAAATACAAAAAATTTTTATTTCATCCATAAATTTGTTTTCGGGCCACCTTCTGTGTGTGTGGGTGGAATTTTTGCCACTTGCTGTGTTTTGTTTTTTCTTGTTTGTTTGCGGTGAAAAACGTTGCCGTTCCGTTATTCTTCTCGCAACCCGCCTGCCTAACCATAGACAACATCATTTATGTTTGTTGGTTGGCTTGTTTGTTCTTGTTTTTTTGCGAGGCAACAGCAGCAGCACCGGTAGCCGCACTAAAAAGGTAAGTCCAATTTGCCATAATAATTAGACGGCTTAATTGTTAAAAGGAATGGGGGAGAGGAGAGGGATTTTTTCCCTCTTTCTCTCTCGGAAAATAAAAATTAGAAATGGAATTAGGAAAAACGGAAGAAGGTGGGGGAACACATAATTATGGAAATTTGAATATTTTTAGAAGAAAAAAATTAAATTGATAAAAAAAATTTTATTGAAATTGAATTAAATGCTGTAAAAAATATTTTTTTTTAAATATTTTTAAAACATCACCACAAGGCGTAAATTTTTTAAAAATATTTTTTAAGGCATCAGTTTAAATATAAAGAGGGGGTTATATGGGGACTACCCCTAAAAGGAAGAGAATATTAATAATTTTGCGGCGGGGAGATTTGCTACCATATCCGACTACAAAATGCCAAATTTCAGCAAATTCGGGGGACTACCAGAAAAAATTGACCTATATTTAAAATTTTTAGTTGAATGCCAAATTTCCGCAAATTCGGTCGAAAAACGCGCTCTAGAACCTCAAAATATCGAAAATTTGGGGTACTCTTATATGGGGACTACCCAAAAAAATTGACCTATATTTAAAATTTTTAGTTGGGAGATTTATTACCCAATAAGAAGCTATTGTACCAAATTTGAGTGAATGCGGTTGAAAAACGCGCTCAAGAACCTCAAAATATCGAAAATTTGGGGTACTCTTATATGGGGACTACCAGAAAAAATGGACCTATATTTATCAATTTTTAGTGGAGAGATTTGCTACCCAATGATAACCTATTGTACCAAATTTGAGCCAATTCGGTTGAAAAACGCGCTCAAGAGCCTCAAAATACCGAAAATTGGGGGGTACCCTTATATGGAGACTACCCAAAAAAATTGACGTATATTTAAAATTTTTAGTTGAGAGATTTACTACCCAATAAGAACCTAAAGTATTAAATTACAGCCGATTACGGTTGAAAAAACGCGCTCAAAATCCCCCAAAAACTGAAAATGGGGGTACCGTTATATGGGGACTACCAGAAAAAAATGGACCTATATTTATAATTTTTAGTGGAGAGATTTGCTACCCAATAAGAACTCAAAGTACTAAATTTCAGCGAATTCAGTTGAAAACCGCGCTCAGAAACCCTAAAATACCGAAAATTGGGGGGTACCCTTATATGGGGGCTACCCGAAAAAATTGACCTGTATTTATAATATTTAGTATAGAGATTTTCTACCCAATAAGAA